ATTCTTAAGAACCTAATGATATGTCACTCTTGTATCAACTATCCACTCATTGCCATGGTCACCAACATGATTATAACACCATGGTATAAATCAAAGTAACTAAATCATTATCTGAATTCACTATTGTAACATTGTCATCATCTAAACTCTTGCCTTTCTTATATTTTCGCTCTTGCTTCAAGATTTTATAGTATCACTTTATATGGCTTGGTTTACCATAATGCAAGCACTTCACTTTATCTTTAGACTTGAATCTATGTTTAGATTTACTACGACCTTTTGAGTTTGGACCTTTGTTAATATTTTTACCCCTATTTTCTGTGATAAAAGCTTGATTCCCAAGGTCTAAATTTTTTGTCTTACTTCTTCATTAAGCATACTATCATTTACCATCGCCAATCTCACATTGTAATCAAGAGCTAAATTAAGAATGTCACAACTAGAGTATTCCAGTTGTTTGACAATGAATCCAAAAAAAACAACACATTTATTTCATCATTCATCTTAAACTCTATAGTAGTTATCCGATTAAATATATTTTAAAAATCACTCAAGTGCTTTAAATTTGATCGTCCATCCCTATATTGTAAAGTTACAAGTTTTTTAACAAGTATAACTTTATTCATGCTTGTTTTTCTCATACAATGTTGTCAATTTTTTTCAAATAGTGTAAGCATCTATCTTTTGTGCTACATGATGGAACATATTGATATCGACCTATTTTTTTATTGTGGATAGCATATTTCTACCTTGCTTATTTTAGCTTTCATTTTTTGTATCTACTAGTTTAGCTGAATCACCCCATACCAACTTATATAAATCTTACAATATGAATGATCCTCCATCATAAGTTTTCAAATTGAATAATTTGATGCTAACAATGTAAGCACCCATATGTGTCCGGAGTTAATTAGAGTTGTTTTTATTTTGTAATATTATATAGTTTGGTACATTACCATATATTATTATATTATAGTATAACTATTACCATTATTATTATTATTATTATTATTATTATTATTGTTGTTGTTGTTGTTGTTGTTATTATTATTATTACTATTATTATTATTTTCTTTATGTTTTTTCCTTTTTTTCTTCTAATCTACAATTGAACGTGGGAACTAAAATTTGGAACTTAATCCATGCAGTCAAAGGCTTTAATTTGTAATAAAAAAAATTCTCAATTTTAAATCAGACAAACTGTTGAAACCTAGCCTAAATTAGGTTAGGGTAGAATCCAATCCTAAGATTCAAGCTTAGATTGATTATGTCCATTTCCTAAAAATCCTTCTAAGGATGCTTATAAATTGAGATAAGAATCAAAGGAATAGGGAATTAATAGGAGCTGGAGGAAGTTGGTGAAAATTTTTTACTGTTGCCAAAATTGGTCGAACAGTAAGGTTTTTTTTAAGGTTTCGTATTCTAGGATTCCAGGATTGATTTGAAGTTTTTGGGATTATATTTGGGTTTCTAGGATTAGGTTTTAGGTTCTGGAAGATTTTTAGATAGATTTAGAAAAAGCTGGGGAAATCCAAAAATTTATTGGGATTTTTTGAAAAAAAAAATTGGGTTTTTGGATGAATGTTTGAAGTTTTTGATGAATTTTTTGGTAAGAAATTAAATTTTTCTACTAGATTCAGGCTAACTTTCTAGAAATCGATGGTAAACTCGGTTTCTAGTTAAGTTTTTGGAGATTATTTTAGGTCAGAGAGAACAGAGGTACAGAAAAGGAGCAGAAGCATCTGAAGTCCAAAACGTTGAGCTTGACCTTTTATACTGGCCTGAAACGGTGTCATTTTGGAATACCCAGATCCATGCTAAAACCCATTGCCCCGCGTGTTAACTCACGCATTGAGCTGACTTGAATCGCATGTTTTTCTTTTTATTTTTATTTTTATTTTCATCTTTTTATTTTGATTTTTGATTTTTACTGGTTTTATTATTTATGTACTTTTAAGTTGTTTATTATTTATTAAATATTTTCGTAGAATAAAAATTCCTTTTTGAAAAACAAAAAATATATTAATAAATAAATTTTAATAAATTCATGAATCCCACCAAACTATTAGAGGATTTTATGGATCTAAATATTATGAAATCCACCAAACTATTGAAAAATTTCATAAATGAATTTCAAAAATAAAAAAAAAATAATTTTATCCTCTAAACTATTGGAGGATTACTTTTTAAATTAAGTTATACTAAACTATTAGGAGATTTAATGAACTTTATTAAACAAAATAATTTTTTACAAATGTGTTTTTTAAATCTCACCAAACTATTGAGAGATCTACATCAAAGTAAGTTATATCAAACTATTAAAAGACTTACTAATTTTTTTGAATAAAATATATTAATCTAACGATTGAGCCTCTTTAAAACGGGACACTAGTCTTCATGAATACTCCTGAGGTGAGAGAATTATCTTAAATTACTACCAAATTATTGAAATAATTTTAAGACTAATTCTCAATATTTAATATTTTGGTAAAAGCATAAACATTTTTAAGGCTTGGATAATTTGGAAATTAAATTGGTACCATCTTTGGGTAGGCACTGTAAGGATGCTATAACCTTTCACATATGTAGTCATACTCTCGAACCTAAATTTAATTTCATGGATCAGATTCGATCAGTTGACAAATAACACTTTAACAAAAAAGATTGGTGGTGACTCCTCTAACCCATTTTTAGCGGTAAGTCCACGAATTTATATGTTATGACAATTAATTTTATCATAAAACTTATATCACCATTCATGATCTCAAATAAAATTTAGTTCTGTCCTAGGTTACTTCTGTATCGATGTCTCAAAATAACTCTCATTCTAATACCATTTGTTAGGCTTAAAGCAATAAACATAACAACGTAAAAGTAATATATCACAATAAACTCATAGTAATAAACAACAATCAATAATCCAAAACGTAAGAAAAATAAAACACATCACAATTTACATAAAAAACTTTTTAATGTAGAAGAAAAAAATTACAGACCACTAGAAAAATTTTTACTATCAAATAATAAATATATAAAATTTTTCTTTAACTAAAACAGGAGCTAATAAATAACTAAAAAAATAATTAAAAAGATCTCACTAAATAAACTATTCAAAAAATACACTTTAAATTTATTTTTAAAAAGTTTCAAACTCAATTTTTACTATTTAAAATATAAAATACTAAATCATAAATTTATTGATAAAATTTTAATCCAATCAGAATACGAATCAATTTTCATTTAATTAACTTTCATTTCTTTTTTTTTTTTTTTTAACTTTCTTTTAACTTTTTCTTCTCGATTTGCGGAGCCACTCACGTTCCACGTCAAAAAAACACAGCCCTCACTTTTTCATTATGTAGGGCTCTCTGAATTACCTAAAACATAAGACCCATGGCCTTTGAATTTGAAAAGTCAAAACCAAAGGAATGGAGCTGGATCCGTATTCGTAATAATTCAAACAGGACTAGTTAAAACCAAGCAATCCATTCTCTGCCTCCGCTTGATGAAATTGGATAATTCTTCTTTCAATATAAGACTTGAAAATACCCTTAAAAAAAAAAGGCAACAAATTCTAAATATAGGGGCGAATCCTGAATTAATGGCAGCAACAAAATCTGTCACGAGCATAGAGTTCAAAGTGTCAAAATTCAATGTATGCTATTTTTTATAAAAGAAATTAATTTTCTGATTGGATCTCTTGGAAAACTAAAAATATTGGAGGGCTTAACAGTTTTATCTCAAATGAAGTGATCGGTAAATCTTTCAAACGGCATCTTTATGTTGTAAAGAAGAAGATGGAGTGATTTTCATAGGCAAAAGTTGATCACAAAAAAGCGAAGATGAACAGATCTTAAAAGGAATGGCCAGAGACTTGTGATGCTTTCGTTGGTTGTTTGAATTTGAGACGACTTGATGGATTTTCGAAGAAACGGCCAGACTTGTCGTTCTTCTGCAGATCTATTGGACTGAACTACAGATGACATAAAATTTGAGTGGTATGAAGAAATCCAGGCTTTGTTGGTCATGAATATGTAAAATTGGCATTTTCTCCTTCCTTGAATGCAAAAAAAAAAAGAGAAGATTTACAAGATTATGATGTTGAAGCTCGGCAACCAATTTCACTTCATTTCTTCACTCATATAATCCTTACCCTTAACTCCTTGGGCGGCAATTATTCATATTTCATTTTCCAGGTTTCAGCTTTAATGGATTTTGTTTCAGTATCATTCACTTCCAAGACTGATCTGTCAGCTACTTAATTAATTATTTTATTTAAGCAAAGAATTGCAAATTTCCAAGGTTCATGGTACTTCATTCGTATGTCAACTTCCCAGTTGGTTGTTAATTTTTATATTTTAATGGAGTTCATGGTTCATGGTCATTCATTCACATGTATGTCAAATTTCTGGTCAGCATTACTTTTGTATAAGAGGTTTTTACATTTTAATGGGGTCAAAATAATAATGATCTCATGCAGAGTAATCTGTCTGAGACTCAGCCGTAATTTGGTTCAACAAATACTAATCAAGTTTTGCGACTGCAACATGATTGAGGAATCTAAAAATTAAAATTAACTAACAAAACGAAGTCCAGGTTGTGAAAGCCTGTATCTCGTATGTGACAGATGCCAATTCTTTCTTATTAGCCATATCAGATTACTTTAAGAAACAGACGGGGAAAAGAGAAATTCAACAAAAAATGATAAATTGTTGAAGAAACAAGTTCCATGATTATCGGTTATCTATTGGGGCTTTTGACCCTATTAAGCTTATGGCAAGAAATCAGAAATTATAAACCTAATCTGGGCTGCATCAGTTTAAAAGTCTGAACCAGATTAGGCTATAGGAAAAAGTTTTGAATGTTATGTCTAATTAACAATTACATTGAGGGGAAAGATGACTCATCATGCATTATTATTGTCATTATTATTACTTAAGCTGAGAAAATGAGATGGCTCTTGATCTTGCACAAATGCAGCACAAAACAAGTATGGTTAACAACTTACAAATGACGAGATCAATTATATGAAGCTTCAGTTTTTTCTTTCAATCTACCAATCCATGAAATAAACAGAAACGCTAAAATTTATACTTGAATATTCTCAACGGTAGGAATTTGCACAAAAATAAACAGTTGCTGCGAAGCTACAAGTGGGACTGAAATCATTACTGATACTTTGGAGCATAACAGATCTAATGAACCATACAACCCTCTATCGAGCCTCTAACACAGATATACTTATTTCGTTTCTCGAAGATGATCCATCATTACCGGATGAAGTATCTGCTTCAAGGGGTTTCTTGTAAAACAAAAAACCAGGCTGTTTAGGCTGAGGCAATTCATTTTCACTTCCCAACATCAGAACCACAGATGACATGGTTGGTCTCCCCTCAGGATGCTGCTGTACACATAAAAGGCTAATATGGATGCACCGTAATACCTCAGATAGATTGCCAGTCTCTACTAAGAAATCATCAGCAAGATCCAAAGGCCTGCCTTCTTTCCATAATCTCCATGCCTGCAGCAAAATGAACCCATTAAGCATTTAGTGTAAGTAACAAAATGTGATGACGACAATATCTGCAGAAGCTTACATGTTCAATAAGGTTGCCGCTGTGATTTGGATCGTAAAACCCTCTATTCTTTCTTCCACTTATTATCTCCAATAATAATATACCAAAGCTGAAAACATCTGATTTTACGGAAAACAGCCCATCGATAGCATATTCTGGTGCCATATAACCACTGCAGAACATTGTCAGAGAAAATATGCATTTTTATGGGGATTTATGGATCAAATTATGTTGCATAAAAGTACACTTACTAAGTTCCAACCACTCTATTTGTATTGGCTTCAGTCTGATCTCCTCCAAAAGTTCTTGCCATTCCAAAATCTGAAATTTTTGGGTTCATCTCACTATCAAGCAGAACATTACTGGCTTTTAGATCTCTATGAATAATCCTCAATCTGGAATCTTGATGAAGGTATAGCAGTCCCCTAGCAATCCCACAGATGATTTGGAAACGCCGGCACCAATTTAGTGCTTTGCTTCTTGTTTGATCTAGCAAATATGCATTCATGTTAATCTTACATCTTTTTTTGGAAAATATAAATTTGAGAGGTTTCTAATCATTTCAGACCAAAAATGAATGAATCAAGGCTTCTGTTAGGCATGTATTCATAAACCAGCATTCTCTCATCTCCTTGAATGCAGCATCCAAGAAGCCTTACAAGATTCCGATGCTGAAGTTTAGCAATCAACTTTACTTCATTCTTAAATTCGTTCAATCCTTGTCCAGAACTCTTTGAAAGTCTCTTCACAGCAATTTCTTGTCCATTTGCTAGTATCCCCTGGAAAATTGAAACATTTGTAGTGAGCTCTTATAATAAAGATGAATTCTCTGTACGTAAGATCACTTTACTAATCTACAGCAACTTTTACCTTATAAACGGGTCCAAAACCCCCTTCACCTAGCTTGTTATTAAAAGAAAAAGCTTCAGTAGCTTGAGCTACCATTGCTAACTCGAATACTGCAAGATCCATATCTTCATTCTGGTCTTGGTTCTCTTTATCATTTACATTCCTGTCTTCTGGTTCATCTGAAAACAGTATAAAGTATAGACTAGCAATTCCCATGAATTTGCTTTCCCTGTTATCTATATTGATTGATTTAGATAGAAGAATGAAAGCTTATACTATATATGTTTCTTGATGAACACTAAAACTGAAAATCTCCAAGCCAGGAGCAAAATGATTTTGGTGTTTGCAGCAAAGAACAAAATGAGTACATTTATGGGGACCATAATTAGTGTTACCTTTTAACTTTTTCCTGCGTTTGCAAACGTAACAAACAACTACACAAAGCCCCAAAAGCATAGCAATTACTGTTGCAATAGTAACAGCAAGCATCACCTTAGGCTTTTTACTGAGTTCTGCATGATCAATTTTGATGGAGTACAAATATAATCAAACAAAAGCCAAAAGACAATATAACAACCTGTAACAAGAATATGTTTTAGTTTTGTATTTTGTACTGTCAGCAACTAGAGTGTAAGACTTAGTTCAATATATAACCTCAATAACATATCCAAATACTTCATATGAAGTACTTTAAATGAGAAATGGAGATGACACAAAAGCAGAAGTAAACGAGTACCTGCTTCTGAAGCAGACACTCTGATGTAAAGATCCTGACCATCTGATTGAAATTGTTTGATATCAATTAGATCACCAAACCACATAGCGCAGCCGCTACCTCCATTTCTAACATCTAAATTGGTGTATGCCATACAAGAACAGTTCTGCAAGCACCTAGCCCTACATTCCTTGAGATTCATAATTTTGTTCACCCAAGAATTTGTGGTATCTGGAGTTTTCACCTGCGCAATTGTAATAAATCCATCTCCACTCTGGCAGTTTAATGGCTTATTGTGTACACACCCTTCAGACCAGTCCGATGAGTTCCATCTTTCCAGAGATTTAGGCCTGAATTTTTTCAAACATTGACAAGATGGAAGCTTATTGTTATCACAATTCCCATTTGGACCGCATAGTCCACATCTGTCACAGTAGTCACTTGGCATGATTGAAAACAACTTCCAAGTTTGAGTTTCTGGGTTCCATGTGTACCGTTGTCTTACACTTTCAGTTTGGTTGAGAACAAACCTCGACATCACGGATTTATTCTTGAGGAAATATATATAGTACACCTCTGTCTCATTCCAGACAAAGTCATAATCAAAGATTGGATTAGATCTTAAATTTGGCGTACCACTAAATCCATCACCATTCCATAAGCCGCTGCGATAGTACTTTACTGAGCCTTTCCTTAGCACCATCTCTGGAGTTCCTTCGAGCTCTACCCCGTAAGTAAGGTCACCAGGAGATGGATCATCTGAGTTCTTCCATGCTGCCAGTCTTCGATGGAAACCAGTTCTCAGGTCAAAACCAATTTTCATCCCCGGTAACATTGTATCAGTTGGATAATCAAAGCTTTGCCACAAGTAATTCTCTGAATTACTATCTTTTCCATCTTTGACAACAAGATTACCGGAATCCAGAAGCTGCAATATTGGATTCTGAACCACTTCTGTAGAATTATTTGACCAAACAGTTGTGTTGTTCTGACCCTGAAGCACAATTTTGCCAGTACTTTCTATCTTCAACAAGCCAGAGGAATCGTATATTGGGTTTATCCTGTTTGCAACCCAGACAACAGTTTGCATCGGTATGTTCTTGTACCAAATTCCCAAGAACCGATTCTTAGAACTCCCTGGAGTGAAGAAACCCAACTCAAAGCTTCCATCATTGGAGACCAAGGTCATTCCATCAGTGAGTGACTGGGATGGAGAAATGGTGTCAAGTGCTGTGGAAGATTTTGAGAAGATGATGAGTAAACAAGCACTGAAAGAAAGGAGATCCATGGCCATGGATGTCTAGTCTGACAGCTCTTTTCTTGGGAAGCAAGTATAGATTTTAGTTGATAGAACATTCCGTAACAAGCATTGTCTTTAAACACAAGACTGTTGACTTTAATGAACACCGTAGCAAAAACTTCGAAGTCTTCTTTGATAGTGACAGAGACTACTAGTATTTTATCTCCAACTGAACTTGAAGATGCTTTTCATTTTTCAGTTCAGAGTTTCAGACTTTCGAGAAACATGCCTAGCTCATCTCCAGGAACTGACATCAGTTGCAGTTATCCTTGCAATCTATATATTGAGATGAGGTTATTACAATACTTACCGCTATTAAGGCGGTTCGGTTTGGTTTGATGATTTATAAAAGGTTAAAAAGATAACAAAAAGTCTTTGAATTATAATTAAAAAATTATTTAAGTTTTTATTTTTATTATAATTAATAAATTTTTTAAATATTTATTTGTATTTAATTAAATTTTCATTTAGATAAAAAGATTAATGCATTTAAATTTTTTACAAATTATAATAAAATTTTATATGATATCGATAAAATAAATTAAATTTATCGGGTGATATTATTAATATAAATAAAAATAAAATAAAATTTTTTTAATTTTTTAATTTTTTAAAAATTTCAATTGATTGAAATTTATCACATGATTAAATTTTATTTAATTAAAAATTCAATTAAACAAAAAATATTTATTATAATTCAATTAAATAATTATTAAATTATAATTCAAAAACATTATTTTAACCTTTGCCTCTAAGAAAAGATTTTCCATTAATGAGTAATATTTTGATTTTTCAAAATCATAATGGAAATCAAATCAAATATAATAAAACCCGAACCACAATCCTACAATCGAACCAAACATTACGGTTTAAAACGGTTGTCAACTTTTTTGGTCTTTTTAGCCCCAATTACTACTCTGGTACTGTCAAGTCAACCTGCAACTGAAACTCAAGAGAAAAATCAGGGTTAGATTCATTTGCCTTGGCTAACCATTAAACATTTCCAATCATCAAAAAAAGAAAGAACGCCAAATATCCAACAATAGGATTCAGAGATAAATGCTTTAATTAGAAAATCTTAAAATTCAACCGAATTTTAATTTAATTAATTTATAAAATTATTTTAAAAAATATTATTTAATAAATATATAATTTTAATTTTAATATTTATAATCACTTTTATTACCATAAAATGTAACTTCTTTTTATATTAAAAAAAAAATCTTAAAACTGTCAAGCAGAATCTATTATGTCTTAAGCTTAATGCAGAGCTTTAACTGAAATTAGTAAATCCCTTAAAAGTTATATTTGATATATAAAATTATGATATAAGATATGATAAAATGATATTACAAATAATATTAGATTAAATAATATCATTTTATTTTATATTTGATGTATGTAAAAATTAAAATAAAATAATTTATTTATTAATCAAAATTATCATTTTTTAAAGTTTATATAATTTAAATTATTGATATAATTTTTAAAAATATAATAAAATATGTAAATTTAATCACATTAATTAAAAATAATTCTCTTTACTTTAAGATGATTAAATTACTTTATACTAAGATGATGATTTTTATTATAATCATATCCTTTTCAATTAGATATAAATTAAATTTAAAATAATTATAATATTATTTTATTTATTATTTTATGTACCAAACTTGACTTAAATTTTTTGAAAAACTTGATTTTATTTAAAAAAAAACTTTTAAAATAATTTCCACTAGACAAATTAAACTATGACTAATTGACTATAACCAAGAGCCATTCAGAGTGCAAATGATTAAATAAACATACCTTATAGATTTAGAAAAACAAACGTCAACCAGATTTTCCTCTCAATAATTATTATTAAGTGAAAATGATTACAAAAACATCAAGTTTTTGAGCAGTCTTTTTCTGACAATTTTAGCTGATCAAATGCAATTTATAGCCCACCTACAAATATATCTTCTGAACTTGCGAAAAGTTGCAATCACAAGTTGTCATAAGGTTCAAATAGGAATTGGTCTCATGTAAATGCTATGAATCTTTGCCCACTTTCTCCATAATCATTTTTTTTTTTTAATAGCACAAACCTATAAATATGTCATGCTTTTGGCTATGATGGTTTGCGTTGGCTCAAGCAAGGATAGTAAGAGACCAAGAACATGAAAAGAAAAAAAGGGAAAAAAAAAAAGAAATAAATGGGAAGAAAAAGTCAACCAATTTGAGTAAGCATTAACCATCCTCTTTTGCCTTTGAAAAAAAAAAACACCAATAGAAAACTTACCTGTAATTAGTAAGGGGAGATAGAAAAAAAAAAACTATTTTTTTATATATAAAAGAATACATATGAAAATAAAAAAAAATTATAATTATTTGAGATTCGAATTTTATATTTTATATTTATAAAAATTAATTTTTAAAAATAATTGTGTGAATGGGATTAAACTCCATTTTGCAAAACCATCTCTGTAAGTTTGGTGCTGTTGGCTTGATTCTGCCATGATTTGATTACTTTCCGCCTTTGCTGTAACTCAAACATGACTAGTCAAAAATCAATCAATCCATTCTCTACCTTTGAATGATGAAATTGTATAATGCTTCTTTCAAATATAAGACTTGAAAATACCTTAAAAAAGGATAACAAATTGTTAATATAAAAGGGGGGAAATCCTGAATTAATGGCAGCAACAAGGGAAAACTCTTTTCTATATTTAAGAATTAAGGTTGAATTTGTCACTGTATATTAATTTTATTGAATTTTTATAATATACTTTAAATTTTGTTAATTTTTAACAAAAAAAACCGAATTGACAGAAATTTTATTTTTGACTTGCATTGATGAAATATTTCAAACCAAATCCAAGAATATTCATCCATAAGCTACGTATTAAGCAACTTGTGGCTTTAAGCAAAGGAAGTGGAAACTCAAGGTAAGTAACATTGGATATGCCTAAATTGGACGTTTAAGAGGTCTGAAGACAGCTTATGTTATGCCCTTTCAAATATTCTGCAATAGAGACTTACTACAATGATTACAGTTTAATGATTATGATTTAAGAATGCATAACTAATATCCCAGTTATGAATTCTTTAATTCTTAGTGAAAATAAAGGTTTGATTATGCAAGACTGAAATAGGCTAATTTTCCCAAAAACAGAAGGAAAGAAAGGAAAATACAGGTTATTAGGATCTCCTAAAGGTAGTTCATTATATAAACATGAAATAAAGAAACCCTGTGTTTGATGGGGCTCCAGGATCCTTTCTTCAATCTGTGTTTTCGGTTAGGTTACCAGATTGATAGTTCCTTGGTGGATTTCCACTCAATGACCCAAAGATCAGTTACTAGGCTGAGATATGGAGTTCAAGTGTCAGGGAATTGATTATTGAACATCATTTAGAAGTTTTCATTATTTAAAAATTTAATTCAATTGATTCAATTAAAAATTTAATTCAATTAATTTAATTATACATAAAAAATAATATTTAAAAAAAATAAAATTCAAATCATAACATTTAATATTCTTTTTTACCGGCTTTCATGCTGCTATTTTCTTTTTATATATATAAATATATATATATATATATATATATATATACACATATAAAATCATTGTTCCACACAGGAAAAAAAGGCATCTAGTGCGAATGTCTTGATCCATCGAAGTTTTCATCAGCTTCCAAGCTTCCCCAAAAGGACCTCAAACAGAGGCAACAACCTAGAAATCCTGGAAAAATGACCAGGGAAACATACACATATTCAAGAACATGTGCTACAAAAGAACCAGGATTCAATCCGAATCAAATTTGTTGGAAACAGGTCTGCGATCTTAAAATCAATTGCTTTGATGTTACTAGGAAATTGCATTTCCAAGCAAAAAATTCCAGGCATCTATTCTGGTTCCTGAAATTCCATCTACCAGCTGTCAAGCAAAAAACAGTTTTTTAAAGAATAGCTGTCAATCAATGTTGAAGAACTCAAACTTAGAACCCGTCTCTCCTAGACCTTCCGGAAATGACTGAATTAGAGCCACTTGATTTCCTGGACCATCAAGGATGGGCCATTGCAAAAGTTGTACAACTACAAGGAAAATTTGGGCCTTATACAGGATCCAATAGAGAAAAACATGTTAATCACATGTATAAAATTATATTTTAGAAAAATTGTAAGCTACAATCATCAAATCTAATTTTAACTTACAACAGCTAAGAAATTATACCACAGATACTCTGGAGTTAGGAATTGACAAGCAAGAGTTTGTAACAAAATTGAATTCAATCACTAATTTCTTTTAATTTAGAGAAAAAAAGGCAAAACTATTTAAGTACTACTTAAAACAGATTTTGTCACTTAAATTAATAAACTAATACCTTGATTATTGCTGTATCAGTGCATCTGCTTATTTCAACAAACGAATAAATGAAACGAAAAAAACTGAGAGAACCAATGCAAATGAATAACATATTGATCAACTTTTTTTCTGCTCTATCTGTATATTCAACAATTTCATTATAACAACAAATTTGGAAGAGACAAGAAAAGAAAAAGGAAAAACAAAAGGACCAAAATATCAATGAAAATCCTTGAATTCTTGTTCGAAAGCTTCTTCAACCAAAAAGCGAGATGCTTCCATCAAATCAGGGCTCAACCTGAACATTAACACACAAAACTCCATCTGATTAAGTGCCCCATCACCATCAAAATCGCCTTCTTTCATCATGGACCTTAAATCATCATCTGTCAAGTCCTGTAACCCCAACAAGGCTGAATTCTTCTTCAGACTATCAAAAGTAATGACCCCTTTTTCACTATCCATCAATAGGTTGAACCCATTGCACAGTTCCCCTATCAGACCATCCCCTCCAAGCTTGTTAGCCATAACAGGCAAGAAATCATGGAAACCTGATGATGATGAGTTTTCTGAAGATGGTGGAGGAATTGCTGCCATGTTTGACGTAATAAGAGAAACAAGAACAAAAGAACAGGATATGGGAAATCTTGGAGAATTGGTTATTTGTTGAATGGAATTACTGGGGCAGCCTGGAATGGAATATATAGAAAAGGGTAAATGGAGATTAGCTGAGATTTCCAAGAAAGAGAGGTCCCAGGAAAGACAACTAAGATACAGGTAATATGGTCGCGTAGGGAATTGGTCGGTCCAGGGTTTTGGAACAGCTGCCACCTCCAAAGTTTCTAGGAAGCTTAGATAGGGATAGAATTGTCAATTTAAGGGAAAGAAGAGAGAGGTTTCTCAAATGACTTCTTTGGATAAAGTCTTCAAATGTAGAGTTACAATAGCCAGTCCAGCGCAAGTTGCACTCCCTATTGTCTTATTAATAAAAATAAATAAATATTTTTAGTAATTTTGTTGCTAAATTGTCAGTGAGTTGTGAATGTTAATATTATTTTTATTTGATTCTTATGTTTTACGTGTTTTTTATTTAAGGTTGTTTGGTTTGAATTTTGATTCATAATATTAAAAGTTCATCTTAAGCATTTTTAAGTGATATTTAACTAAACGGAAAGAGATTTTAAATTTTATTTAATATATTTTTTTATTAATTCAAACAAATTTATTTATATTAAATTTAATAAATCCATAAAAAAGTTATTTTTTAATATTTTTCTAATAAATTTAAATTTTTACAATAAAAAACTTTTTTTATTCTTTGAGTCAATCATCTTTGGATGTATTTTTAAATGATTTAAAGCCTTTTAAAAAATAAAATAATTACTGAGACAAACGTGAATAGGGTTTTGGAAAAAAAAAAATTTTCAAAGGAATAAGACATTTTTTTAGCTCTTTTTATTTTTTTAATTCATTTAAAAATTAGTAAATTCTTTTGACGTCATTGCATTACGAAGCTAAATGACAACCTTAATTTCACCCATAAACGGAAGTTTCTCAAAGGAAGGTTCCATGAAAATGACTGAGCGTAACCTTTCTTTTTGTTTTCTTTTTTTTTTTTTTTTTTTTTCCAGTTAAGTCTTTCACTTTACTGTTGGTCTTTGGTTGACTAAGAAACTCTGCACCGGAGGAGGCCCTGCCTGCCCGAGTCTCTGGTCAAAGCTGCCCTTTTCCGATGACTCCTATTAATTTGCCTATGCTCATGAGCAAAGATAGTAATCGGGCAGGACAAATCATTTTTAGATCAAAAGAAATTTTGATTCTAATCATTTCCGTTTGGATTAATCTTTCAAATAGTTGAAATTCGATTAGATGAATTAAAGTAATTTATTTTATTCTATTCAAATCGATTTGATTAGGTTAGATTCCAAACGAGTAAATAATTTTTTAAATTTAAATAAATATTTTTAGATTATAGATAATGTAATTTGAATATAAAATTATAAAAAATTAAAAATTTAATAAATGTTAGAGAACGCTATTTTTAAGAGTATAGATTTTTTATATACTTGAATCTTAATCTCCCAATTAAATGCAGTGTTATTTATGCTCTAATCATTTGTGAAACATATCATACATGAAAAAGCTTTTTAATTACGATTTTAATCTTTAAACATATCATTAAAGAGATTAATTATTACTGTATAATATATTAATTGTTATATCATAACCCTTGAATTGATTAATATGGCAAGTATAATAGTTGATGGAATGTAGTCTATAACAACAAAATCAATGGTTTGATTTTGACAAGATTTTCCTGGTAAGCCATGCCGGCCAATTTGCAAATTATTTACTACAAACTCGTAATTATAATCAGCAGAATATGTATGAGACAATGGTGTAAAGACAATCACCCTTTGATAAAAAATTTTTAATTATAGAAAAGTTTAGCAAATTTTGGGTCTTCAATCTTCATTTCAACTAACCAATTGGGTTAAAACTCTTCTAATCTAGAACAGTAGAATACTTTTGATCTAGACATCAAACTTTCTTGATTTCTAAGTCTATGTTCAATGTCAAAATCTTGAATTGAGAGATTAAATCCTTTTTTTTTTTTTAGAGTTATTGTGAGAGTCCTTAATTATCCAATGAAAATCAATAGACAACTTATATCATGATTTTTCATTAATTATTTATTTAATTTATATTTGATGCATTACGAATATATAAATTGTATATGAATATCAACATTTAAAATAAATATACAAAAATTTAATTAAAAAATTTACTTATTAATAAAATATTTCATTAATAAAATGACATTATTTGATTCAGTACAGTATATAAAATAATGATAATACATCGAATATAAATCTTTATTATTTTTTATCATCTATTTATTTATTCATTTATTCTAAAAATATCTGATTTTTTTGGGCATGAGCTAATTCTTAGATTGGAGAATCAAAAGTACTATAAAACTTTCATAACTATTTTATTTGTTTTTATTGTGAATGCCCTTTTGAGTAGAGTTAGTCACAATTGACTTGATTTTTAAAATTTTTTATATAAATAATGCGATATTTTGAAAAAAAAAATTGAAATTCTTATATTTAAATTTAAAAATTTTTAATATCATCTTGAATGATTGTATGAATTGAATTAATCTATGATTCAATTTGATTTTTAAATTCATCACAAAATTAAACAATGTCAATTTGTACCCAATTTCAAGGAAAAAACCAATGGATTTATTTGACCCCTTTGGGCTGAGAGCTTCATCAAAAACCCAAATTCATGACTTTGGATTGGATCCAATAAGATTGTCAGCAAATCATCTAAGGCCCTAAGCAGAGTATTTTGTTCTGAGGTTCAAAATGGGCTTTTGTCCAAGAAAAACATAGTACAATTTCTTACAATCAATATATTTCTTTTTGACAGCAGACCAAGATAACTTATATTTCTGTTTTTTGACAATCAATTTTGTTGATAGATACCTGTAACCAGTTTCATAATTTATATTCATTAACACCAGAAGATAAGATTTTGTAACTTCTTCTTCAACATGTTACTATATGCTGTTATTTTTACAATTATGATTCAATGATAAGAGTCATGAAATTAATTGGGTTCTAGTAGTTAGTGCCCAAGCATTCCCTTACTTTGCTTGGATGGCCGTCTAGATGGACTACTTTTAAGTGTGTGTTTGGTCTGGGAAAAAATTAAATTATTTTTTTAAATTTTATTTTTTTGTAATTTAATGTCTATATTTGGTTTACGGTATTTGATTTAAAAAAAATTTAAAATTTTTAACAGTATTTAAATAATTCAAAATCAAAATTATGTCTCTCTATGTGATTTTTTAAAATGAAAAGTTAATTTTATCTCATTTTTAACTTCAATTATAAATTTTTTTGATTTATTTTATTTTAAAAATCAATATAATTATATAATAAATGAAAATTCATTTTGACACGAAAATAAATATTTATAATCACACGATTTGATAAAATTATAATTCTAACTACTTGATTAGATACGTAATAAATTACATATAAAAAAATAATATTTTTAAAAGAATAAACGTAATAGATAAATGCAAATTTAAGATTTTAAATTTTTTTATTTTAAAAAAATTAAGTTTTTCATACATGAAATGTAATAAATCAATTAAAATAATAATAAAATAAATTAAAAATTTTCAATGATGTTTCTTAGTTTGAAAACATTGTAATTAACATAATATTATAATATAATATTTATGATACCTTTAATCACATTTCTTATGTTAAAAATGTAATATTTAATAAATAAAACATTTTATATATATCAATGACTAAATTTTTTGTTATGAAAACGTAATTATTGATAAATGGTAGTTTTTTATTTTTATAAACATCACATTTTTTTATATATGAAACGTAATTAATCATTTAAAAAATAATAAAATAAATATGATATTTTTTAATATCAATGACGTTTTTAAATATAAAAATATAATAATTAGTAAAATATTTTAACTAAAATTTTTATGTGAGAAACATAATATTTAATATTAATAACTATAAAATCGATAATTACAATTTTTTTTTACATAGGAAACGTAATAAATATTTCTGCTTCAAGTAACACAATACTCTAAATACCCCAATCAATGAACATAGTTACTCACCGTTCTCAAAAACTCATTTCCTTTGTTTTCTCATTTATTACCACTCCCTTGGTAAGTGAAGTTCTATGGCCAAAATTGGGAGTGACACCTTCATTCATGCTTTTTTTTTTTTTTTTTTTTTTGTAAATCAAGTAATAGATAATAGAAATTTATATTTTTAATTCACTTCAATTCTATATGTCAAAATGTTATACTATTTGTTTTTTTTTTTTTTTTTAATTATGCTGCCTTCTCTCTCCCTCGCATTTAAGAATTAAACGAGTTTGTTCAACTTGCTGTTATAGATTTTATTAATTTGTACAAACAGCAGCAGTAGTAATTAATTAAGTACTACGTTTATTGTAATAAAAATATAGTGTTTATTATAAATACTGTATTTATACAATAAAAAATAATGATTAGATTAATGATTTTTTTTTTTTACATTTTTAAAAAATTATATTTTATATTTAAAAAAAAACGTTGTTTTTAAACTTTATTATATAAATTTTCATAATATATAACTTTATTTTAAACATAATAAAAGTAATTTTTTTATATTTTTATTGTTTAATGATTTTCACATATTTAATTTTAAAAATATTAATTAACAGTTAAAATATTTATCAAGTATGTATAAAAGATATTATAATAAAATAATTTTATTACGAAATTTAAGATTTCATGAATTAAACATAAAAATATACTATTTCTATTAAAAAAATCACCCCTTATAAAACAATTTACTCTTTTTCACAAATTATTTTTTCCCCGAAATTTAAGGTTTCGCAAACTTAACGTCCTAAATGGATTTACCAATTGGGATATTTCTTCTTGGCATTGGTTTATTCCCCTTCTCCATGGGCGTGGGATACTCCTTAGTCTACTTCGGCTGTTTTTCACCATGGAACTGACATGGTTTCAGCTAGATTTGAGTTGACGACCTTTCAAACACGGCCAACACGCCTACAAAGGCAGCTTGTCAAGACTTGAAGCTAGCCACAAAAAAAAAAAAAAGGACAAATTACAACTGTGTATATTTTATTTGTTGTGATTTATTGCTTTCCAACTGTTTCTTGGGTCTTAAATTTTGTTGTTTTCCTTTTTCTCTGCTGCTGTTTGGACAACTTGTTTTCTACTTAAATGACCTGGTTTTGTTGCAAGAATTAAGTTCTTTCAATTATCCAGAAAGAAAAGGAAGTCATGACATATTTTGTTTATTTGCATGATATACGAGAGGATAGCTCTTTACTTCCCTCATTTCTTCTCTCGTAGTTAATAAAATCACCCAAGCAATTTGGTTTTTACATCTGTCCCCTTGCCTAAAGGATGATATTTAATGTCTGAATTAATGGAGTTGGTATTAGGTATAATCTGAAACTTATGTCTCCAAATTAAAAAAAAAACCATAGAAAATTTCTTTCAAAAGTCAATTTGTTAAAGCCTAAAGGATTTTTTTTTTAATTCCTTTTTTTGGGATGAAAAAGAAAAAAGTGGACAAAGAAAGAGTGGAAGTCTTCCCACTAGGACGATGTTCATACTGTGAAAATAAGTTGATAAAAATACCAGTTTACAAGCTGGGTGGGGACTGACTTTTAGAAATTCAGAAACGTCAGACATCCTGGAAATGACCATTGAACCAAGCCAACCACTTACTCTGTGGTCCTAACAAAAAATATATGGATTTCCATATTATTAGGTAAGTGCTTCTACATCAAATCAATCGATATGCTGTTTATTCAGAAGGGAGGGGAACTTAACTGGTCTAAGGATCCAAGGTATGGCTCTGCCACTTTAATTTTTTATCTTAGAATGTTTCGGGATTTTCACCAACAATCTTCTAGTTTAACCACTAAGATTTCTTGTGGGTGAATTCCAGATACTTTGCGACACTCATATCTTTACAACTACAAAATGCATCTATGCCCTCCAGGTTAAACTTGTGCAAGTTAGTACAGTGAAATAGGTCAGAAGCATCAAGCTAGAAGTCCGGAACTAACCAGGGTTTGCAATTTAATAATGGTATGAGTCTGCTGAACTTGATTTATTTCAGAATCTTATAGGGTATGTTGGTGAAATAGGACTGGCTACTTTATCCTCTTTTTTCCAAAATTTTGTTGTCAATTAATTTCTGAAAGCTTCTTTCCTTGGTGTTATTCAAATTACTTGACAGCATAAGAAAGTGTGAACGATTGCTCTTCCTTACAGACTAATAAGGTTTCAAAAGTGCTGCATCAGAACCGATCATTTTGCCTCAGCCGGTGTAGATAGTGCAATCAAGAATATATGCAAGGAATTGAAAATTTGTTTTGAGAGGTCATTTCAAAGAACATTAAATATTTTTCATTCATATATTTTTTGTTTCGTTGGTCGTTCAACATAGAAAATTCTGTGGATCATTTTACATCACGAGGGGAGTTCAATTCCAACCATACAAGAAAGCTTTGATGGTGAACAAAAAGTGCAGTGAGATATGTGAATTATAGAGATAGTTTGTGATGAAATTAATAGGTTCACATGGGAAAAGGCATAGGAAGAAGGGAGAGGCATTCAAGCCTCATTTTTTTCCCTCTATGGAAGGCCTTATCATACTTCTTTGCTTCTTTGTGATGCCTCATGTAATTTTATCTTCCATAGTGGATGCCATAGATACAACTCACTCCATTAGAGATGGGGAGACCATAGTTTCAGCAAGTGAAATCTTTGAACTTGGATTCTTTAGCCCAGGTTCTACTGGCAAGCGATACTTGGGAATATGGTACAAGAAATCTGTCCAGACCGTTGTATGGGTGGCCAACAGAGAAGTTCCCCTCAATGATTCATCAGGTGTTGCAAAAGTTACCAGTCAGGGAATTCTTCTCCTTCTGGATGGTAAAGGCATAACCATTTGGTCTTCCCGCTCTTCAAGACCTGTGCATAATCCAGTTGCACAGCTGCTGGATTCAGGTAACCTTGTTGTGAAAGACGAGAGGAACAAAAGCTTCATATGGCAGAGCTTTGATCATCCTTGTGATACACTGCTACCAGGCATGAAGATGGGAAAGGACTTTGTTACGGGCCTATATTGTTATCTATCATCATGGAAAAGATATGATGATCCTGCTCCGGGAAATTTCACATTTGGACTTGATATTAATGATTTTCCAGAGTGGGTCTTGAAAGAAGGTTCCATGGTGAGATTTCGTTCTAATGACAAAGATGTATACTACAGATACAATCATGGCCTTCAAAATAGCTCAATTCTTACAAGGGTAGTGGTCAGTCATAATGGAGATTTAAAGTATTTCAAATGGATTGATCAAACCCAGCGTTGGGTGCATTATCGTTCAGCACAAGAGGGTACTTGTGACTTTTTCGGATTATGTGGTGCATATGGTTTGTGCAATGCTAATAACTCCCCAGTTTGTACTTGCTTGAATGGATTTGTGCCAAAAGACAAAAAAGAATGGGATAAGAAACCAGGGTCAGGTGGGTGCATTAGAACAACTGGACTGAACTGTTCTGGAGATGTATTTAAGGAGTTTCCCGGAGTAAGGTTTCCAGCCTCAGGATTCGAATTTAGCAGCACTATGAACCTTGAGGAGTGCGAGATCCAGTGTTCAAAGAACTGCTCGTGCACAGCTTATGCTAATTCGGATATAAGATATGGAGGAAGCGGGTGCCAGCTCTGGTTTGGTGAACTGATTGATATTAAACAGTCAACTGGAAGAGGACAATTAATTTATATACGGATGGCCGGCTCAGAACTAGGTATGAAACTCTCCTCAACCCTGAAATAGAGAGCCTAATACTCTGGTCTAAATCTTCTGAAGGAACTATATATTCTACAGAAATGTGTTAGCTGAAAATATTTGCACAATTCTGCTTTACTTGACCATAAACCAAAAGAGAGAGGATAAAAATGCAATGGCAGCTACTGTGAAACAGCTTAAGATGTTATATAAAGCAGCAGTTTCTAATGTTAGATCGGAATGCTTTAACCACTTCAATAATTCTAATGGTTATTCCTGATTCCTAATGAAAGAAATATTTATAGATAATCATCTTTTAATTTTAAAATTTTACCCAATCTTGCATAACTTTTGGTATATCTGGGTTTTGATACTTGCTGAAACAAAAGAACTTGCTTGAGATGTATCCATCACGTATCAATCAACAACTATAAGCATATTAGTGTCAGATGAAAATTTCTTATTCTTGTCTTAATTAATGACTTTCTTTCTATCTTCTTTTTTGTGTGTGTTTTGATTTTTTGTATAGATAAATCCACTGAGAAGAAAAAGATGTGGATTGTAGTCAGCTCTGTTTTGTTTACTGTCGTGGTCATTGTAGGCATAGCCCTGGTCCTTTTTGTTCGGAGGAAGAAACACCTGAAAAAGGGTAATTCTTAAAGCCAAAATTCACATTTTTTCGGATTGGATTGTCATAGAATTTTTATTTACATCACCATGGGATTTTGTAGGCTCAATGGAAGGTCTTTCAGACAGTAGTTATAAATATGAGAATCAAAAGGAAGATCTTGAGTTGCCATTATTCGATTTTGCAACAATTACTCGTGCAACCAACAACTTTTCTCCAAAGAATAAACTTGGAGAAGGTGGTTTTGGATCTGTCTACAAGGTAACAGCAGCTTATAATAGTTTCATTGCAACATGTTAATTGTTTGCTCACTCCAATGTTTCTACTTCTTTGTAATGACACCAGTAACCAAAACTGCAGTGTGCTTATTAGGTATTATAAGAGGTCTCTAGGGATAGGCCTTTGAGCCCTATATGTCAATACATTATTAATAAGCAATATGGTAGAAACTCAAAAAAAAAAAAAAAAAATCAGGTTTGAGAGAATGAGGCTGTGGTGATTTATGTTCCAGGGTATCTTGGAGGATGGACAAGAAATTGCCGTGAAGAGGCTGTCAAAGGGTTCTACACAAGGAGACAATGAGTTCAAAAATGAAGTTGAACAAATTGCAAAAGTTCAGCACCGCAATTTAGTGAAGCTTCTAGGGTGCTGCATTCGAACAGATGAAAAGGCGTTGATATATGAATTTATGCCTAACAAAAGTCTGGACTGCTTTATATTTGGTACATCTTTCTCCAACCTTTGAAGTTTTGTTTAGCTAAAACATTCTAGTGCTTTAATTAATGAAATATGTAGTGTCAAATAGCAATGGAGTAACAATCATATGTCAGTAATTCATAACCGTGTTGATTTTATTAGTCTTCCTTTTTTTTAAGAAGAAAAGTTATGTACAGATATCAACAAACATTATAATGATCTAACTTCTGTGAAAAATTGATCAGATGAAGCTCAAAGCATGTCTTTGGATTGGCCTATGCGGTACCATATCATTGATGGGATTGCTCGTGGGCTCCTTTATCTTCATCAAGATTCCCGACAAAGAATTATACATAGAGATCTAAAGGCCGCTAATATTTTACTAGATAATGAAATGAATGCAAAAATTTCAGACTTTGGTTTGGCTAGAAGTTTTGGGGAGAAACAAACTACAGCAGATACAAGCAGGGTGGTGGGAACATAGTAAGTAATAACTCAAAGATTGACTTAATACATTGTTTAACTTCATCTTGTATGCTTGATTTAACTTGAAATGTTTACCTTCAGTGGTTACATGTCTCCAGAGTATGCAATTGATGGGGTCTACTCGATCAAGTCCGATGTCTTTAGCTTTGGTGTTTTGCTACTAGAGATAATAAGTGGAAAAAGAAACAGAGGATTCTTTCATCCAGATCACCAGCTTAACCTTGTTGGCTATGTAAGTGTCACATTACAACTCTTATCTTCTCTAAATGTTAATTCTACATTTATACTGTTAGTGAACTAACCTTAGTTGCATAGGCTTGGAGGTTATTTACTGAGGGCAAATCCTTGGAACTGGTTGCTGCACCAATTAGTGACAGTCGGAACTCACAACAGATTATAAGGTCAATTCATGTAGGTCTATTATGCGTGCAACAAAGTCTGGAGGACAGGCCAACCATGTCAAATGTTGTGCTGATGCTGAGTTCCGAAGATCCATTGCCTCAGCCAAAACAACCAGGTTTTTTCCATGAGAGGAATCTGGTTGAATTTAGTTCTTCATCAAGCGGTCAAAAACAATTTTTGTCTAATAATTTCACTATAACAGTATTAGATGCAAGATAAATGGCAATTCATGTTAATATTCTACAATGCTCTAGGCATGGCCTATTTGGCAGTCACATTTCTTCTTTAAATAGGTTCCCCCAAGTTCAACTTCCCCAACTCAACTATCAAAGTTGGTTTTGATTGAACAATATATACTGTGTAATTTTCCATGCAATGTAGGCATTTATTCATATTCTTTTTGAAAGTCATGCTCAAACAATTTTATCTGTAGCATTTTTTATATACAGATTTGCCATTTCACATCATTCAGGTTTTCGGGTATGTATTCTTCGAAAAATAGGGATTCCAGCAATTCCTACAAAGAGCAAATTATGAATCTTAAGTCATCCCAAATTAATTGATAAAAGCAACATTTAAGAATGACATCATTTTTTTATAATCAATTCAGCCGATTATGTCATTCCATTTTCTAAAGTACTTCTGGTCAAACTGGGTTTGCCTGCATGAGCCACGCCGTTTACCTACTACAACTTAGGCCAAAGTTTTCAAAGTAACAGGAAGAGAAAAGTTTTTCTGGACGAATGCTTTTATTGTGTTGCTTGGAGGATATACATGAAATGAAAGAGAAAACGGTGTGCTGAAACGTTGGCACAAGGAAAGTCTTACCTCATTGAAAAGGAACTTGAATTGTATGGATGGACTATGGATATTTATTTATTTCTCAGCAATTTATTCCGTGTATTTAGGTGAAAAGTGGGATGATGGGTCCATGTATGGTCTCACTACCATATTGCATCATAAGATTTTGAAAAGATTGTGTTCTAGAATTTCAGAAAAATTATTATCACATATTCATTCCGTGAAAGTTACCACCATCCTTGCATGCTGATGTGATTTATATGATTCCATGATAACTCTTATGAAACTGAGTTTTTGAAATCAAAACACCTATTTTCTAACTTATTGGCTCAAACCGAAGTTTCTGTGTCTGTTGACCTTATATCCCTCGCCATAAATTTTGAGTGCGCGGGTGGCAGATTTTCATCAAGGGAGGTTACTTATTTTTCAATGCTCTGTCACTTTGTCCAATGGTAGGACTAGAGTTTTGGTTGAACATACACTTGTTGTTTGGTTGGTACAAAGAACTAAATTGAACCCTATCTATTCTATTAACAGGTATTTAATTCTCATTAAATGCATTGGTTCAAGTTCTCTGTTTCTGTTCCACTCAATTTCAGGTTCGGCTCCACCACTACTTTTTTTTTTTAATAATACTCTCCGCCGTAACAATTATAATTATTTACCTGAATAAAATTCACAAGTAATAATAGAATCCCATAAATATAAATGGTGACAACTGTTGTATTTGAAAGCATTTTAGGGTTTGTAGAAAAATTTTACCGACTTTGTGTATGAGGTTGGATTTGAGTGGTGGCTGTGGCATCTGTTATCAACTAGCCGAACCTTTTCCTGACTTTATTGTGAAGTTAGGTTTGGGTTGTTGTAATAATATCACTTTGTTATTAACTAGCCTAAACCTTAAAGCGTATGATCAACTTCAGCCATAAGATAAGATCACATGACTTTGCCCTCGAAAACAGCATCAGGTGGCTGGTCTGAAATCTTTCCTTCACACTTTTAATTTATTTGATTTATACAACCATACTTAAAAAATTATAGTTAATAGATTTCAGACTCAAATTTCCTTAACCTATTTTTAAGCTGTGACCTATTTTGTACTTAAAAAAAAAATCTTTCTTTACAAGCTCTAATTATCAGATTTAAATGTAAAGAGTAAACAGCTTTGGACACGAAAGAACTTGAATTATTATATCAGTTAACTAACATTATGAGTGTCTAATGCAAGGAGAATAGAGTGGTTGGAGGAAATTATGTGGTGCCTAAATCCCAACCAAGCAAAAGAATCAATGTAGCATTCGAAGGGTTTTGTCTTCGGAGTTCTGCCTACCCAAAAATTTCTTGGTTGATAAAAATGTTACTGACTAACTGATTGGAAGATAACAGTAGCAGCCAATCAAAAAACAAAAGCAGAAGCGTGAGTTGTTGACTTTGTAAAGTAACATAGAACATTTGTCCACTCATTTTCAACTTTTTATATTCATTAATTATTGCATCAGCATTGCCATGCCGTCGACCCCACTTCATTATGGAGTATTGTCTGATATGAGAAAGTCTGGACCATTTGCTTTCCTGGAATAGCGGTACCAGTATGCAATTTTTTCTTGTCTATCAAAAACATTAGAAAAAATTGTCATACAGCTCCCACTTCTATTCTGCCGATTTTCATGATCATGTTGCTAAAAATTTCAAACCTTAAGATGGAAAGAACATGGGGGGTTAGTTTACATAGATAGCCTTTTATAGAATTGTTTCATTCGCTAAGGAAAATATTACTTGAGATAAAGGAAGATGCTTTTGATTCTTTAGTTCTTCATCCTCTCAATGGAAGGCTTGGCCATACTTCTTCTTTGCTCCTTTTTGTTTGCCAATCTAACTGTATCCACTGCGGTGGACACCTTGTATGCAATTCAATTAATTAGAGATGGTGAGACAATAGTTTCAGCAGGTGGAAGATTTGAGCTAGGATTCTTTAGTCCAGGTGAAACAAGGAAGAAATATTTGGGAATATGGTACAAGCAAATACCTGTCAAGAGTAAGACTGCTGTATGGGTGGCCAACAGAGAAGTGCCTATCAACGATTCATCAGGTGTTCTGAAACTTAACAAAGTGGGGATTCTCGTCCTTCTGAATCATGGTGGGAGCATCATTTGGTCTTCAAACTCATCTAGGCCTGCTCGAAATCCAGTTGCACTGCTCTTGGATTCAGGAAACTTCATTGTGAAAGAGGAAAATGACAGTAATCCTGAAAACTTCTTGTGGCAGAGCTTTGATTATCCATGTGATACGTTACTACAAGGCATGAAGCTTGGAAGGAACTTAGTCACAGGCCTGGATCGTTACCTGTCATCCTGGAAGAGTCCTGATGATCCTTCTCCCGGTAATTTTACATATCGGTTTGAGGTTGGTGGATTTCCAGAACTTATACTGAGAGAGGGTTCAGTTGTTCGATTTCGTCCTGGCCCTTGGAACGGTCTGCGGTTTAGTGGCACACCTGAACTAAAACCAAACTCTTTTGTTACAGTTATTGTTGTGATCAATGAGAAAGAGGTATATGATGGCTATGAGCTTCATAGTAGCTCAGTTCTTTCAAGGATGGTGTTAAGTCAGGATGGACTTTGGGAGCGCCTCACATGGACTGATAGAACCCAAAGTTGGCAAGTTTATGTTACAGTGCAAATGGATATTTGTGACAATTATGCACTATGTGGTGCATATGGTAGCTGCAATGCAAGTAACACCCCAAAATGCAGTTGCTTGGAAGGATTCGTGCCAAAATTTCCAATAAATTGGGACTCCAAAGATTGGTCAAATGGTTGTGTTAGAAAGACTCCATTGAACTGCTCTACTGATGGATTTCTAAAGTATTCTGGACTGAAGTTGCCAGATTCGCGTCAATCCTGGTTTAACTACAGTATGAATCTTAATGAGTGCAAGAAGTTATGCACAAGAAACTGCTCCTGCACAGCTTATTCAAATTTGGATATAAGAGATGGAGGAAGTGGGTGCATGCTTTGGTTCGTTGACCTGGTTGACATTCAACAATTCACTGAAAATGGACAAGAAATATATGTAAGGATGGCTGCATCAGAACTAGGTATGAAATTTTCCATCCTCCTTAACCTCAACATGTTCTAACTATATATATATATATATATATATATATATTTGTTTCAAGAAGGATAAGACTACTTGTTTTAACAGTATTGATCAGTTATTCAAATAAAAAAAAGTATAGATATAACCATTGGCTTTGTTTGCTAGACAGTATATATATTTTTTGATCCTGAGGTAATTTGGTAGAATTCTGCTGGATGTTTGAGTTTTAAAGAGAATGACTACATAAGTGTGAATCAGCTCTAGTAATTCAAGCACAAAGCAGATGAGAGTGAATTAGAACTCAGAGGAGCAATTTTTCACAGGTGAAAGATCCAATATACAGAGATTTTGGTAAAGTTTCGTAGAAGTTCATGAACATATGAGATACTTGTCGGTGTAAATGCATAATGAGCTTTTGACATAAGCAATATTTTCTTGTTAAGTCAATAAAAGCTTTGGATTTATCCAGAAATTGGTTTTTTGGAATACCTTTAATTATTGTTATAAAGTTTAACATAGTTTTATCTGAATTTGGAATCAGCAGTTTAATCAAATTAATGAATGTATAAGCATGATAGTAAAATATTAAATTTGCTATCCATATAATGATTTCTAACTTCAAGATTTCTGCTCTGATTTGTTGATGAATAGATCAAATAGAGAGTACCAAATCCAAGGACAAGGACAGAATGAGAATTGCATTCATCTCTGTGTTGACTGCAGCACTGTTGATCCTTGGCCTATCCTTGTTCGTATATCTTAGGAGGAAGAGATACCATGAAAAACCTGGTATACATCATAGCTCTCACAATTCACTATATTATACTTCCATTCTTTTTGTTTCTTTTTATATTGTTCATTAGACTGTTATGGAAAGTTTTCCTGTTGAATGTGGTGTTTCTATTACTTCCCATGGTTAAGGAAAAAGTGGAATAGGTGCCTGGTAATCAGTTAGATACTTGTTTAGTATCCGACGTCCATTAGTGTAACAGGTCTGGAACTTATCTGGTACAAGATCTTCCAGGGCTATTCATTTGTAAATTCTTGCTGACGAACCTGACTTTTTCAACCACGCTGCTTGTATCCTTTTACCTTTACTCCATCCACTACTTTGCAGGAATGGTGACATTTGTCCCTGAAAGCAGTTTCAATGTTAAAAATCAGAAGGAAGATTTAGAGTTACCATCATTAGACTTTGCCAAAATTGTTCTCGCAACCAATAACTTTTCAATGAAGAATAAACTGGGTGAAGGCGGTTTTGGATCTGTCTATAAGGTAACAATCTTGTTCAACTATATATTATCTATTTGCATCATTGGCATATGAAATTTCCAAATGATCATTCTACTGATACGTCTTAGCGTCCTATGAACTTTAATCGATCATATGCTAGGAATGAATAAAACCTCTAAACTCTAGATTATTTGCTCAAAAAGATTGAGTTTTACCTATGTTTTGGGGGGAGGGTGTTCAGATGTACATATGAAAGAGTATCATTCCAGCAAGATATCTGGCTCACGAGGATGAACGTTTGGTTACACACTTTTCAGGGGGTCTTGAAGGATGGACTAGAAATTGCTGTAAAGAGGCTATTGAGAAGTTCTGGACAAGGACATGATGAGTTCAAGAATGAAGTCATGCACATTGCAAAACTTCAGCACCGAAATTTAGTGAAGATTTTAGGGTGCTGTATACAGGCGGATGTAAAGATGTTGATCTATGAATTTATGCCTAACAAAAGCCTGGACTTCTTTATTTTTGGTATGTGTTTCTCCAACCTGCAAATTTAGTTAAATTGGTATACTTAACTGCTTCCATGATCTAATCATGAGTACCGACTACTTTCTTTTACCCGGAAGAATTACATATTAGAGATCTATTAGGGTTAACATGGCTGACTTGTGAAAAAACTGAACAGATGAAACTCACAGCATGCCACTAGACTGGCCTACACGCTATAACATTATCAACGGGATTGCTCGCGGGCTTCTTTATCTCCATCAAGATTCAAGACAAAGAATAATACATAGAGATTTGAAAGCTGGTAATGTTTTATTAGACAATGAAATGAATCCCAAAATTTCAGACTTTGGCCTAGCTAGAACTTTTGGAGAAAAGGAAACTGAGGCAAATACAAAAAAAGTGGTGGGAACATAGTAAGTAAAAATTTGAAAAAAAAAATAATATAACATATATTTGGAGATGAGCTTTATTTCAATGTTTCTTGTATGTTTGACATAACATTCATGATTGTTTGCAGTGGTTACATGGCTCCTGAGTATGCAATTGATGGTCTGTACTCCATTAAGTCTGATGTCTTTAGTTTTGGTGTATTGGTGCTCGAAATAGTAAGCGGGAAGCGAAACAGAGGATTCTGTCATCCAGATCATCAGCTGAATCTTCTTGGGCATGTAAATCTGATAATGATCTTTCCAATTAACTCTCATTGTTAAACTTAAATCTACTAGATGTATTAAAGTGTTGTTTGCTGCATATATAGGCATGGAGACTGTCTGCTGAAGGAAAATCCTTGGAGTTGATCGCATCGGCAATTAGGGACACTTGCAATCCTTCTGAAGTGTTAAGATCAATTCATGTAGGCCTGTTATGTGTGCAACAAAGTCCAGAAGATAGACCAACCATGTCTAAGGTAATTCTAATGTTGGGAAGTCAAGGGCCCTTGCCACTGCCTAAACAACCAGGTTTTTTCACTGAAAGGGATTTAGTTGAATCTAGTTCTTCATCAACCAGCCACAAACTCTTATCATCTAATGATTTCACCATTAGGATGTCAGAGGCAAGATAATAAAACAAAAAAACTTTTGAATGTTAATTTTGCCTTCCTTAGTTTGCCCCTTAGAAATGATTGTTGCCATTGAAGTGTATTTACTGTCATATCAACCTGTTAGTTTCTTCCAGTGTGTTTTTCATTTACAGGTTATTGCTTGTATCTCTTTTTGACTGTTAAAAGTCAATTAGGTTAGCTATTACAGATCCAAAGAAATTTCTAATTTGATGTTCTTGAACACTTACACATTGACTTCAATTGTAATTTTCACTACCCAATAGGATTATCTGCAGTTATATCTATTTTTCCGTAAGTCATTCAAGAATAAGAGTACACTTGATTGGAATGGATAGATAGAGTTATTTCCCAGCAATTTATTCGGTGCATTAATTTTGGAGAAAAGACATTTACTTGATTTTTTTGTGCACTTAAATGGAACATTTTTTTCAACACCTCAATCTCACAGCAAACAATACTTTATAAGTTGGGTACGAATTTTCATAAATAATATCACAATGATCATCAGTCGGATGAGAACTAAGTACTACATTGTGAGTCACTTTTAGAATCACGTGGGAGCTAAGGGTTATACGGTGAGAGCCACCTATAGAATCCCAATATCTGATGTGATCTTATGATATGTGTATTTTATGTTAGACTTGCTTAATGTTTGGTGTGATTCAACATCTGCTATAATATATACATAAAGGATTAAACCAAAATTTGTGAGGTCTTTTTTGTGAGACAAAACGATAAGACTTACGAGTTAAAACGGATAATATCTTGCAAGTTGGATGTGAATTTTCACAAATGATATCAAAGTGATTATCGGTCGGATAAGAGCTAAATACTATATTGTGGAAGCCACATTTAGAATCCTATAGGAGCTAAGTGTTATGCGGTAAGAGCTACCTGTAGAATCTTAACTTTTGGTGTGACCTTATAATCTATGTTTGCTTTATATTGTGTTTGCCTAACATTTAGTGTAATTTGATGGATCTGTGTGCTTTATATTCTCGTCAAGCTTTAATGGAAGAGTTTGTAATGTCCCAATCTCACATTACGATAATTTAAGATTTTATTATGAGATATATATAGAGGTTTAAATTTAAACTTGTGAGATTTTTTTCATGAAACAAAATTGTGAGACTTTTAGATCAAAGTGGACAATACCTTATAAATTTGACGTAAATTTTCATACATTTCATCTTTGAACAATTACCTAAAATATTTTGCAGGTTAAAACACAAAACTATGAGACATTTGAATCAAATTTATAAGATTTTTAAATTAAAATAGATACAAATTAAGTGTGAATCTCCGCACTTTATCTTTGAACAATTACCTAAAATATTTTGCAGGTTGAAATAAATAAATTTTACTCTATAGTCTAATGGAAATGATTTAAATCACTTGAAAATAACATCAATTTATCATTTTACTGTCATTTTTTTTCTTACATTTCATTTAAGGCAAATAACTTTGTTTTTGTTGAATCTCCCCAAGATTTCCCAACCCCAAAGGAACTGTTCAATTTCGTCTGATGTTTATGTCCGACTCAATTCCAGATATTTTCGTAGTGAGCAATATCGGTTAAAACTCAGAAAAATATTAATACATGACAGAAACTAGACAGTTTTGCGCTTAGTGCAAGTTGAAATGGTCAGCTGAATAAATCCAAAATAATAAATGTTGATATTTATTTTCCTTGATGAGTACGGAAGTAGAATAGGGCTCTTGCAAGAAAAGACACGGTGTTGACCCAGGTCGTCTCTAACCGGGCAATAGACTCAATACTACCGTATCAGGTCTTGACTTCTTAATCTGGCTAACTAAAAAGGTCCTGGGTTAATCAAAATGTAGTTGACTGCCAAGATTCAACTTTAATAAATGGGAAATAGCAATTAGTCGTTGGATCAAATGTAGAAGCAAGACCTAAACAACTTGTCCACCCATTTTCAATTATTGTTATTAATGAGCTCTGTCATGTCACTATTGCATTTTAAAATTGGAGTATTGATAATAATATTAAGAAATTTTTAGCCATTGCTTTTTATAGTGTATTATATGCTACACTTTTTTTTTCGGCTGCCAGGAGAAGGGGAAGAGGGTGGTTTCCAACCCCTGGTACGGATATTGGTGAAACATTCAATAACCTTAATTGAAAAGGACATCATGGATGCCATTTACGCAGATAGCCTTCAATAAAATTGTTTCATGCTCACTGGAAAAGGATCATGAGAGAAAGGAAGATCCTATCAAGTAGAGTTTCACCCAATCAATGGAAGGCTTTGCCATTCTTCTTCTGCTTCTTCTTCTTCTTTGTTCCTTTGTCATCTCTAATCTAACTGTATCCATTGCAGTAGACACCTTGAATGCAACTAATCAGTCAATTAGAGATGGTGAGATGATAGTTTCATTAGGTGGAAGGTTTGAGCTAGGTTTCTTTAGCCCACCTTCCAGCACCAACAGATTCGTGGGAATCTGGTACGGGAACATATCTGTCCCAACTGTTGTCTGGGTGGCCAACAGAGAAGCACCCCTCCAAGATTTGTCCGGTGTTCTAAAACTTACCAACCAGGGGATTTTAGTTCTTCTAAATCATAATGGGAGCACTGTTTGGTCCTCCAACTCATCCAGGCCTGCTCGTAGGCCAGTTGCGCAGCTCTTGGATTCAGGAAACCTCATCGTCAAAGAGGAGAATGACAATAATCCTGAAAACTTCTTGTGGCAAAGCTTTGATTATCCATGTGATACATTGCTATCAGGAATGAAGCTCGGAAGAAACTTTATCACAGGCCTGGATCGTTATCTGTCATCCTGGAAGAGTCTTGATGATCCTTCCCATGGTAATTTTACTTACAGGTACGACATCGGTGGATTTCCAGAGTCTGTACTGAGAGATGGTTCAGTTGTAATATTTCGTCCTGGTCCCTGGAATGGTTTGCGCTTTAGTGGCGCACCTGGACTAAAACAAAATCATTTATTTACATTTGAATTTGTGTTAAATGAGAAGGAGGTATATTTCAGCTACAAACTTCGTAATAGCTCAATTCTTTCAATGATGGTGTTAAATTCTGAAGGATCCTGGCAACGCATGAAATGGATTGAGGAAACACGAAGTTGGGAAGTTTATTTTAGAGTACAAATGGATAACTGTGACAATTATGCACTCTGTAGTTCATATGGTAGCTGCAATGCAAATAAGGCCCCACAATACTGCAGTTGCCTGAAAGGATTTGTGCCAAAATTTCCAGAAAAATGGAACAACAAACTTTGGTCAAACGGGTGTGTTCGTAAGACTCCATTAAACTGCTCTAGTGATGGATTTCTAAAGCACTCTGGAGTAAAGCTACCAGATTCGCGACAATCCTGGTTTAACTACAGTATGAATCTTGAGGAGTGCAAGAACCTTTGCAAAAAGGACTGCTCGTGTACAGCTTATGCAAATTTGGATATAAGAAATGGCGGAAGTGGATGCTTGCTTTGGTTTGTTGACCTGGTTGACATTAGGGAGTTAACTGAAAACGGACAAGAAATTTATATACGAGTGGCTGCATCAGAACTTGGTATGAAACCTGTTATCCTTAAACTTCAACGTCATTGTCTAACTCAAGTACAGAGATATTTTTTTTCCTTTCATAGAAATAAAACACAATTTCTTCTAACATTAGAGATCTAACCGATGACTTTATTGGCCAAATGGCATAGACTTTGGTGGAACCTCCGCTAACGCTTAATGCATAAACTGAACTGACTCTTATAATCATAATACTTCAGTATTTATTAATTTGCATTGTTCATATTGATTTTTAACACCTAGATTTCTGCCATGATTTGTTTGATGACTAAATAGAAGGAAAGAATGAAAGAAGGAGGATCGCCTTCATCTGTATGTTCTCTATAGCAGTGTTGATTCTTGGCCTAGCCCTGGTCTTCTATCTTTGGAGAATGTCATGCGGTAAGAAACCAGGTACACCATATCTCTCACATATAAGACACTTTCTTTTCTTTTTATTTTCTGTTGTGGAGTTATTGAAAGTTTTCCTGTTGAAAGTTGTGTTCTTGTTATTGTCCTTGAAGGGACGATGCTTCCAAATCTAGAGATGCTATAACATAGGAATTTATTGACATTTTTTGGTTGAGATAATCAAGAGGCAAAGAGCTTTGTGATTGAATGATCTCGTCTAAGTTTATTATAAAGAAAGCAAGTTTGATTGTTTAAGGCCATGGTAACTTTGAGATTTTCTTTTTCATTTTTTCTGGGAAGACCAAGATATTTCATGGGGTCATAATTTCATTAGAAGTCCAAAATTTGGAAATTGATAGTAGTAGTCCTTATATTGTTTGCATAGATGACATGGATTTGCATCTAAGGAATTTTCAACCATGTTAGGAAATGTAGTTGCTCTTTTTTTTGGCCACCGTTAGGAAATTTAGTTAAGGATACTATCATGCCCTGAAACCGAGATATAATATGGTCATATTACCTTAAAGTAAAACCTCAAAGTAATATAAAGTCTTTTTTCTTTTTCATTCTAAAATACTTCAATAAAATAATTTGTTAAAAAAAATCCATAACTTTAATTCAACTAATGATAAATCTTCCTATTCCCAAATGCAAACTAATAAAAATACTAAACTACTTCATAAGAGCTTACTAGCCAACAATGTCTCTAGTGTCTGAGTAATCTTTCTAATATGATCTTCTAGCTTCTCATATAACTAAGCAAACTTATCACTTACTCATTTGTAAAAAAAAAGTAAAAAGAGAATGAGTAAACCACAACTTAGTAAGTATAGGCTCACATATTTTACAGGATTAAATATCATTTTCATACATACTATATAGATCATTCCAAAAACAATTCAAAGGTCAACATTCTATCAAACATTTTGTAGATCATAAATCAATATCAAAACATGTCAATTCCTTAATTATAAATCATAAATCATGATCAAATACATATTTCTTACAAATCATGGATCAATCATTAAAATCATCATATATCATCATTATCATTTGTTATCATTAGATACGGTCACTGCTATAATCAGTGACATTAGTCTTATCGACAATTTCATCCTTATGATCATTGCTAATTATTATAACCCGCTAGCCAGGGCCTTACGCTAACTACTATAATCTGTTAGTAGGACCATATGATCATATCTATGCTAACTACTATTACCTGTTAGCCGGGCCATAGAACTAGTTTTGGTGTCGATGATCCTACTTCCCAAAGATGTAAAAAAATAGCTATCATAAAATTGTTCTTTAAACATAAATTATTTTCTCATTTCATTCATAAGCATGATCCATCATTTATACAGAGAAATGTAAAATAATCATATGCTTGATCCTATTCATACATAAAAAATAATGAAATAAAACATTCATTCATTTAAAAACATACATATATACATAGATTTGAAAACAAGCAAAGTGTGTGAGATTCTACTTATCTCCTTTTGATTCCACCACTTAGTTGTTTTAGTATATATGGTCTTAAAAAGAGTTGACTAATTTCTAATTTGTTGAAATGATCTTAAATAGGCCATTAATTATTAAAGTGGAACCAGAGCTTAAGTTGCGATCTTTGAAAAATTTTTAAGAGTTAAATTATGATTTTTAGATTGTGATGATATTTTCTTAACAACCTAAGTTATGTTTCTTGGAGATTTTCTAAGAGTTCAAGTTATGATCTTTAAACCATGTGGGATGTTTAAAAGTTTATATTATGATTTTAAGGATTTTCTAAGAACTACGATTATGATTTTTGGAGGTTTCCTAAGAGGTTAAATTGTGATAATTATATTAATGGTGATTTTCTAAGAATGAAGATTATAATCCTTAGAGTAAAAGAGACTTTCTAAGAGCATGAGTCATGATCTATATACTATGTGGGGACTTTTAAAGACTTAGATGATAATTTTTGGATTATGTGATGATTTTTTAAGGGTTTAAGTTTGATCCATAGACCATATTCGTGGGTATGAATGAATGATTCAATAAATTTTTGGAGTAGTTAAAGTTTTAATGAATATTGAGTAATGAATGATTCAATGATTTAATGAATTAATGGAGTAATTATTTTGGTTGATAATAACATATTACTTTTAAGATTTTTGTCATGCCCAATACCAAGACACAACACGGTCATATCACCTTGAAGTAAAATTCTAAAGTAATATGAAGTCTTATTTCTTAATAATTCTAAAATTCTTCAATAAACTGATATAGTTTGTCAAGTAAAATCCATATCTTTAATCCAACTAATGATATATCTCTATATATCCAAATACAAACCATATAAAAATACAAAATAATTTCATAAGATTTCATTGGCCACTATTGTCTCCGATGAATAAGTAATCCTTCTCATTTGATCTTCTAGTTTTTCACAAAACTAAGCAAACTTATCACTCACTCTGTGAAGACTGCACCCAACCTGTGAGGTATTGTCTGCTTTGACCCAAAGGTCTCACGATTTTGTCCTATAAAAGGCACCTCACAAGTTAAGATTAAGTCTCTACATATATAACATTCTTATCTACACATAATCTTGATGTGAGATTGGGGGCATTACAATCTCCCTACCTTTAATGCTTGACATATCTGTCAAGCCGAGTCCATCAATAGGACCAAGATCACACCAGACCATCGTGTAGCACTTAGTGACTCCCACAGCTCCACCGTGTAGCATTTAGTGACTCCCACGACTACGAATTAGTGATCGCTCTGATACCATTTGTGGAGACCCACACCCAACCTACGAGGTATTGTCCGCTTTGACCCGAATGTCTCACGATTTTGTCCCACAAAAGATGCTTCACAAGTTGAGATTAAGTCTCTACATATATATCATTCCTTATCCACACATCATCCTGATGTGAGATTGGGGGCGTTACACACTCATCTGTAAAGAAAAAGTAAAAAGGGAATGAGCAAACTATAACTCAGCAAGTATAAGCTCATATACCTTATCGGATCAAGCATCATTTTCAAACATATTATATAGATAATTCAAAATATTCATCAAATTATAATGTCAAAATATTTTCAAATCATCATGTCAAACATTTCGTAGATTATAAATCAATATCAAAACATGTCAATTCATAAATCATTACAAAATATGCTGCTATTCAAAATTCGTAATCAAATCAAATCATGGATCAATAATTAAAATCATCATAAATCATTAGTTCATCGTTAGTTTATCGTTAGCTATGGTCATTGTTATAACTTGTGACATTGGTCGTATCGATAATTTCATCCTCATGATCATTGCTAATGATTATAACTCATTAGTCAAGGTCTTACGCTAACTACTATAACCCGTTAGCAGAGTCGTATGATCATGTTTATACTAACTACTATTACTCGTTATCCAAGGCCGTATAACTAGTTCTGGTATCGATGATCCCATTTTTCAGGGATGTAAAGACCTAGCTATCATGAAATTATTTCTTAAACATAAATCATTTTCTCATTTCATTCATAAGTATGATCCATCATTTACATAGCAAAACATAAAATAATTATATGCTTGGTTCTATTTATATATATCGAAAATAAGAAATAAAACATTCATTCATTTAGAAAGATACATATATGAATAGATTCGAAAAACAAGTAATGTATGTGAGATTCTACTTACTTCCTTTCAATTCCACCACTTAGTTTTTTTCCCAAAATAATTAATGGCCTATTCAAGATTATTTCAACAAATCAGAAATTAATCAACTCTTTTTGAGACCATATATACTAAAATAACTACGTTATACAAAAGTTAACTAACTAATAATAGTAGCTGACTTCCTTTCATTAAAATGACCATTCTTAAAATATCTAAATCGAAATTAAGATCTCTTTAATATGTTAGAAACTAGACTTGAAAAGATTTTTAATCATATATGGCCCACATCGTAATTCTTTGTAGATTAATTATAATAATTTTTGCAATCCACATCCTCTACTACAGTTAGATAATACGTATGCCATCTAATAAAAATTACATATATATTCATAAGAGGCTCCAAATTCAATTCGGTTATTTCGTTAGAAAGTAGACTCAATAGCTTTTAAAATATGTATGGCTTAATTCTTAATTCCTTGTATAAAATTTAAGAGAATTTTCGTAATTCAATCCTAATGATGCTGCCATACAGCTTACATATCTTTAAGTAAAAATTAGATGACTCTTCTTAAAAAACTCATGGATTCAACTTCTGTTGTTTCATTAGAAAGTAGATTTCACATGCTTTCCAACGATATATAATAGTTATAGCAATATCTACTCCCTTGATATAAAAATTATTTTAATCTATTATTGTAGATAATAGCATCTTATTCAAAAACAAAAATTTTCCTTTAACCTTTAAAAATCCAAATCTCCGCTTTTAGCCTTTAAAATCCATTCAATAATCATCATTAAATTTTAATGACATGAAGTAAATAAAACCTAATAATTTACCCAAATCAATCACAAAGATTAATGTAAGATTTCATAATTTTTCATAATTTTTCTCTCAGAACTTCAACTCCAAATAATAGCAACTAACGTAGTATATTTTTTAAATAAAAAGATGATATATACTCACCTTTAGGAGATTAACTCGATTTTAGCCTCTAATTTTGAATCTCAAACTTAATTTTTGATGCCTTTTAAACCTAAGGAAGATGAGGAAGAAGAACTCATATTTCCTTTCTATTTCATGATAGCTAGATTTTCTTTCATTTAATACCTCAACCGTTTTTCTTTTACTAATTAATCTCTTAATAAACTGATGGACTTTATTATTAGTCTAGCCCAATTATCATTTGGGCTGGGATATTACAATTTTGTAGTTAAGAAAAAGTCTAATTACTTTGATAAAGTACGATTTTATAAGTTGAAGAGATTTTCGATACATTTTATGATGAGACATATCTTATGAGCTAAAGGATTATTTGAGCAAATAATTTGATCATTGGAGATTCTATGGGTTAGAGAAAAAGACATTTGATTTAACGAGATTTCAAAGTTATTTGTCGAGTGTTAAGTGAATCCTTTAATCATGGACTAAGATTAGACTAAGGCTATGCATTTTTAAAATTAAAAATATAGAATATTGGAGTTGGAATGACATGATATGTTGAAATTTTAAAGTAATTATTTGTAGATTATAATGTTTGAGAATTTATTTTGATGGATTTAGTCCGAAATATTATAATTGTAGTAAATAGTTTTATATATGTAAAGAAGGACATTCACTTGATTGGTTTGTACTTTTTTATTAAGAAAGTATTTAAGGTTTGATCATACGAGTTATAAATTTGTATAGTTAATTTGAATTTTTTATTTTGAGTGTAAAGAATTTTCTCAATTGGCTAAAGTGATTAATTTTGGTTATAATTTCTAATTGAAGAATTTTAGAATGAAAAAAAAAAAAAAAAGCTTCATATTACTTTAGGGTTTTATTTCAAGGTAATATAATCGTGTTATGTCTCGGTCTCTCGGGATGTGACAAATACTGATAATAGTGTTTGTCAACTAAAATGACAAATCCGGCTTTGATTGAGGAAAAATTGGAAACGTGCAATGTATTGAATTTGATACCTCTATAATACTACTGTAATAGGCCTGGAAATTATTTGATATAGAAGACAATCCGGAGCTATTCGTTTGTGAATTTTTACTAACAAATGTGATTTCGAGTTTGACAACAACACTGCTTGTGTTGTTTTACATTTGCTACGACTGCTACTTTGCAGGATTGCTGACAGCAGTTCCTGAAAGCAGTTCTAATGTTAAAAATCAGAAGGAAGGTCTAGAGTTACCATTATTTGACTTCGCCACAATTGCTTGTGCGACTGGTAACTTTTCGACAGCAAATAAACTGGGAGAAGGTGGCTTTGGATCTGTCTATAAGGTAACAATCTGGTAAACTGCCTTGCACCAGTTGATTTTTGCAACTCTTGTGATATCAGCTTGCTGCATTGACATATAGAAAACTTAAAACTTCTACATTTTTTCTACAAAATCAGTTTTGCCGACCTTATTCCCTTTTGTCATGGGGGGAGGGGGATTGACTTGACAGATTGCCAATAAAATTATCAGGTTGACAAGAATGAGCATGTGGTTATACACTTTTCAGGGCATCTTGAAGGATGGACAAGAGATTGCTGTAAAGAGGCTATCAAGAAGTTCTAGTCAAGGACTTCATGAATTTAAAAATGAAGTACTACACATTGCAAAACTTAAGCACAGGAATTTGGTGAAGCTTTTAGGATGCTGCATTCAAGGAGATGAAAAGATGCTGATCTATGAATTTATGTCTAACAAAAGCCTGGACTTCTTTATTTTTGGTACGTCTTTCTCCAACCAGGGGAATTTAGTTCCATTAATATACTTGAGTGCTTCTATCATGCAATAATGACTACCTTCACCTTTCTCTTTTCCTCCCAAAGGTTTTGTATCCTGGCATCTAAGACAATAAAATGGCTTAATTTGTGGCAAAAACTAAACAGATCAATCTCAAAGCATATCACTTGATTGGCCTATGCGTTACCACATTATCAATGGAATTGCTCGTGGGCTTCTTTATCTCCATCAAGATTCAAGACAAAGAATTATACATCGAGATCTTAAAGCTGGTAATGTTTTATTAGACCATGAAATGAATCCTAAAATTTCAGACTTTGGGATGGCTAGAAGTTTTGAAGAAAAAGAAACTACAGCAAATACGAAGAATGTGGTGGGAACATAGTAAGTAGTAACCTGAAAAATGATATAATAAATATATATTTGATGATAAGTTTCATAGCGACATTTTTTTTATTATCTGCAGTGGTTACATGGCTCCTGAGTACGCAATTGATGGGCTCTACTCCATTAAATCTGATGTGTTTAGCTTCGGTGTCCTGGTGCTAGAGATAGTGAGTGGGAAGAGAAACAGAGGATTCTGTCATCCGGATCACCAACTTAATCTTCTTGGACATGTAAGTGTGGTTCAAATCTTATAAACAGTCAATGTTGGAACTCAATTTTAGTATAACTGAATTGGTGTTTGTTGCTAGGCATGGAGACTATTTACAGCAGGAGAACCGATGGAGTTGATTTCATCTCCAATTAGGGAGACCTGCAATCCATCAGAAGTGTTACGATCGATTCATGTGGGGCTGTTATGCGTGCAGCAAAGTTCAGAAGATAGACCAAACATGTCCAATGTGGTTCTGATGTTGGGAAGCCATGGCCCCTTGCCTCAGCCAAAACAACCAGGTTTTTTCACTGAAAGGGATCTGGTAGAATCTAGTTCTTCATCAACCAGCCACAAACTGCTATCATCTAATGATTGCACGATTTCACAGTTAGAGGCAAGGTGAATAAATGTCCTTTCATGTTAATTGTATGTGTCAGAGTACCAAGTAATCAACTCTTAGAACTGATTGTGTTGTTGTATTATATTTACCGTCTTTTGTAGTGTCTTCTGTTCAATTTTTCATGTTCAAAATTTAGACGATTAAGGTTCCTTATTATAGTTCAAAAAGTTACTTCTAGAATTGATGTTCTCAACAGCTATAGAAAGAGTTCATTTCTAATATTGAATCTTTCAATAAGGCACTTATATATAGTTACTAGTATCTTGTCACATGCATAGCCCGCGTATGCATTCATGTTAGAAAAAATAATTTTGATGATGATTATGAATATATAAATTAATTTATAATGTAAATATACTTAAATGTCATTGTAATTTGCCCTTTATAATGGTAACATAAAATTAAAGTTGATTGAAAATTACAATAATATTTTTTTTTTAATTTCGAATTTTCCTTTTATTATTTGCATATATAATTAATAATGTCTAATTGCTAATATTTGAAAAAAAATTGACCAATTTATTAAGTTCTTGTTCATAACTATCATTTTTATGAAGCTATTTGTTCATTATTGAGAATTAAATTTAAACCGTCATTAAATTTTATATTTAAAATAATATTTTGTGTAAGGTATGAAATCATCATATTGGATCAAAAGAAAATTTTATTTGACTAATTTAAAGCATTCTAAAACTTAAAATAACTCATAATTAATTTATCCAAACTTGAATTTGCGACTTAAATTTAAAAATTAAAACAATCAAAGTTTGAAATAAGTTGAACTTAAACATTTTAAATATGAAATGATTGTGAATGAAATAATCTAATCACGAAATAAAAAACAAACAAATCTACTTGAATTAATGCAAAAAAAAATTATTAGACGAAATCCAAAATCTCTTTCTGACTAAATAGAATTCAACTCAAGACATTATGAACATGAGAATTGACCTAACCATTACCCCCCAAACCACACTCATTTATTATATTTCATTAAAATTAGATTCAATTCTTCATTTTTTTTCTTCTATGACTATTCTTTATGGGTACGATTTTTCTATAGAAAATAAAATACCTTATTAATTTGAAATTTTGAAAATTATAATATTTTAGTCAAAGATGATTTTCATTAAAAGCAGTGTGAAGGAGAAGAAAGGAGTATCGCAATTGGCTTTGCCTTGCTACATGGGAGTTGGTCCTTGCCGTCTTCTGTTAATCAAATAAAAATGGCAAATAAATAAATAAAAGGAAAGTGGGAAATTAAGATTTAAGAAGAAGAGTAAATTAAATATTACCTCAAGAATAATATCAAGAATTTAGAGTTTTGGTTCAGTTCGAGACTTTGAGTACTTTAGTTCCCAAATTATGCATGCAGCGACTTGGGAAAAAGAATGGAAATTATGGGCTTGGAGAGACAGACCACCATCGGCCTCTGTAAGGAGATTATATTCTACATAAATAGTTTTTTTTTTTTTTAAATACATTAATAGATAATTAATTGATTATTTTATCTAATATTTATTGATATCATTTGATTGGAGACCCATGTTTTGCTGTCAGAGTTAACGGTGATAATGGATGAGATTGAATTTATTTTGATTATTTTGATTAATACATAATTTTTAAAAATTTTAAAATTCAATTCGAATTTGAATTAATTTTTTTCAACAAAAATGATTTAAAGCAAATTTTATCAATTCGAATCAAACTTAGATATTTAATTTTCAATCTCAATTGTCCGAACTAAATCAAATCAAATAAAAAATTAATCTTACCTGAACATTTTGATTTTAAATTGATTTAAATTTTTTTTCCAACCCTAATAGAAACCTTCAAATGTCAAAAAATTTATTAAAGAGTTACAAAAGATTAATTTTATCCTATACGGATAAATGCATATAGGCTTATCAATTTATCCTATACAGATAAATACATGTATTTTATATCTTCGCAAGTACATACACAGTCAACAATGTAGATAAAAAAATTTTTTTTGAGGGAAAATGAGCTTCATTAATCAAGATTGGTTACAATCTTCACATGACACTTCAGAAACTATGCTAGGCCAATCTTCTAACCAGTATTCATCATTTGCAGTATGTAGGCCATTATGTGCTAGATATTCCCAAACCTTAAAATATGCGTTATATGGCATTCTTGAAACATGGACATCCTCCACCTAACTTCTTCTACAATCTAGATATGGTAATTTGAACCCTTTTTTCTTTGGATAAAAAGGGTCTAAAAAAATTTCAATATGAGTTTATGTGTTATTTTAATGATATATTTTAAATACAATTGATTGGTCAAATAGTCTTTTACTCGTTTTCAACTTTTGACTAAGCCACCCATATTATATTTACAGTGACATAGGATTCAAACAAAACTTTTTTTTTTTCAAACTCTTGCTTAATAGAAAATTGAAACAGGAAAATAACTTTCTTTAATTTATCCTTTTTTCTAGGTGAATCGTATGAAAAAGGATGGAACTAGGGGGAAGTTCATAGAAATCTTCTTTATGCAAAGGTCATGTATGGAATTTGGGTCCCAAACTGCCATATGAATTTTATTTTATACTTTTAAAATCTGATCATGTCATAATCTTCTTAATTTTATAAGCAGTAAAGCATGCAGCATTTGATTTCTTTTGTTGGTCTACATTTTGGTCAGAATCAATATAGATATGGGAGTTCTCTTTCAGGTTGGTAAAATTTTGCAGTGTAATCTGTAAGGCAAATTTCACTGTAATCTCTAAGGCAGATTTCACTATCTCCAGTTTGGGGAAAAATGCCAGATATATAATTTTCTTATACAGAATTTATTTTTATCAGTTAGTTTTGTGAATTTTCCTTTAAAAAATTTTGGTGTGCATCACTATCTGGTGATCACTCATTGGCTTGATTATTTCAATGCTGTCCAAGGATCCATCAATGCCTATATGCTCGAGTTGCCCAGGCCAGGCTGGGGTTAGATTTTTTAAGCCCAAGCTTAGTCTGACTCCGGACTTGATCATACTCGTTCACATCTTTGTAGAAAGCTTCAATAGGTAAAAAGGCTAGAAATAGATGTTAAGAGCTGTAAGTAATTTATATAGTTTCACTTAGTTCCTTTATTTGAATGGAAGATGACTGTACTTTAAATTTTCAGTTAAAGTTCCCTGGCATAGTTTAGCTCAATACCTGGAAAGACAGACAACGGTATGATGAAGGAAAACAAACCTTATATTTATTCTAGTAATCAATTATGTTTTCGTCAAATCAAGCTAGTAGGTAGAGCACAATTTCCGCTAATACTGTTGCATTAGAAATGTCGTGGTAGATGGCGTTCAAATGAAACTCCTAGTAGTATTCTTGTTTAGAAAATTTGGCCGACTCTTTATTCTTATTATATAATATAGATCCTGAAGTTTTGAGCCCCACGAGACGGCACTGGTCAGAAAAAGCTCCTGAGACCTGAGGTTTCAAAGTTGAAATTGTTACATTCGGATGGAAAAGCATCATATAAGGAATGAGGTCTTCCAAGTCTTCAGTTTCTCATCCTATCAATGGCTTCATTCATCTTGCTTCTGCTTTGCTCCTTTCTATGGCCTCGTATAACAGTGTCGGTTACAGTGGACGGCTTAAACACAACTCATTCAATTAGAGATGGTGACACCTTAGTTTCAGCTGGTGGAATCTTTGAACTAGGATTCTTTAGCACCGGTTCCAGCAGCAAAAGATACTTGGGAATATGGTATACAAATTCTGTTACGACGGTTCCATGGGTGGCCAATAGGGAAGTTCCCCTTGATGATAGATCAGGTGTTGTGACAGTTACCAACCAGGGAATTCTTGTCCTTTTAGATGGTAATGGGAGCGCCGTTTGGTCTTCTAATGCATCGAGACCTGTTCGTAGCCCAGTTGTGCAGCTCTTGGACTCGGGAAATCTTGTTGTGAAAGATGAGGGTGACAGTAATCTAGAAAACTTCATTTGGCAAAGTTTTGATTATCCAGGCAATACGTTCATTGCAGGCATGAAGATTGGATGGGACTTTAGAACAGGCCTGGATCGTTACCTGTCATCGTGGAAAAGTCCTGATGATCCTGCAGCAGGTAGGTTCACATATAGATTTGAGCTTGGCGGATTTCCAGAGGTTATAGTTAGAGAGGGATCGGCTGTGAGATACAGGTCTGGACCTTATAATGGTGTGCGGATGAGTGGGATGCTTGAAATGCAGGAAAACCCTATGTATACTTATGATTTTGTTTTTGATGACAAGGAGTTATATCTAACATTCATTGCTCGAAATAGGTCAATTCTTTTAAGGGGGGTGCTAAGTAGTCAGAATGGAGCTATAGAACCCTTCATGTGGATTGATCCAAATCAGGGTTGGATACAAAATCTTCCACTTTACATAGATAATTGTGACAGGTATGCATTATGTGGAGCTAATGGTATCTGTGACAACAACAAGTCCCCTGTATGTAGTTGCATGACTGGATTTGTACCGAAGAGTCCAAGGGAATGGGATGCAATCCCAGGGACAGGTGGCTGTGTGAGAAAGACTCAGCTAAACTGTTCTGGAGATGGATTTATACAGGTCTCCGCAGTAAAGGTGCCAGAAACAAAACATTCATGGTATAGTTACAGTATAAACTTAGAGGGGTGCAAAAACCTCTGCTTGGCGAATTGCTCATGCACTGCTTATGCTAATTTGGACATAACAAATGGAGGAAGTGGGTGCTTGCTCTGGTTTACTGACCTTATTGATATACGATACATAACTGATAGTGGTCAGGATATCTATGTGAAGGTTGCTGCATCAGAACTCGGTATGAAATACCCTCAATCCTGAAACTTGTAGTCTATTACATAGTATTTTGAAGCTTCTATATAATCTTTATATTCCATAGAGATGCAACAGAGATAGTATCTGACAGATATAAAGTGATATACTAAAAAGTATAAACTCGAATTTTCCTGCTAGGTTGGAATGGTACTATTCACTGCAATAAATGTTGTATCTGAAAGGATGTAAATAATTTTCTGTTATGATTTGCTTTCCATATAGATCAAAATAAGAGCACAACAAACAAAACAAAATCCAATGCCAACGGAACAATTATTGTAGCAACCTCTGCAGCATCTGCAGGAGTACTGCTAATTGTAGGCCTAACCTTGGTCTTGGTTTTAAGGAGGAAAAAAAAACAGAAGAAAGGTACATCTTTCCTTTTCCCCCAATTCATTTTTCATGATGTTTTTATGGATTTTTTTTTGTTACAACTGCAAGGGAAATATCGAAACTAACATGCTGTGAGAATGTGTATCAATTTAACATACTCAGAATCAAGTACGAAAGAAACTTAGTACGAGTCAATTGCTTTGATTTGGTAAAATACCAAACTTCTTCAGCTTAAAAGTTAGATTGAGGGAACATAAAAGGAATGAATGCACATGTTATTCCAGTGGATAGTATCTTTATTGTAACGGCTCTCGAACATACGCTTGAGCATGCATTGGAAATTCTTGGAAATGAATTGATTTTTTACAATAAGTTGCATATTATATTTACTCAACTTGCTACTTCACAGGACCCCTGATACACACCTCAGATAGCATTTCCGATTATCAAAGTCACAACGAAGATATAGAGTTACCATTATTTGATTTAACAGCTATTACTTCTGCAACCGATAACTTCTCAATGAAGAATATACTCGGAGAAGGAGGTTTTGGATACGTCTACAAGGTAACAATATGATAAAATATTGTAAAATACTTTACGGTTTTTTCTCCATTGGTTCCACATCTTTCCAGTTACATACAATCATACATACTACTGTTTTCTCAGCAATGTTGAAAATAACCTTTGATTAATGATTATATACCTTCTTAGGGTGTTTTGAAGGATGGACAAGAAATTGCTGTGAAGAGGCTGTCAAAGAGTTCTAAACAAGGACTCAATGAGTTCACAAATGAAGTTAAACATATTGCTAAACTTCAACATAGGAATTTGGTGAAGCTCCTAGGATGCTGTATTCAAGCAGATGAAAAGATGTTGGTCTATGAATACATGCCTAACAAAAGCCTAGACTTCTTTATCTTTGGTATGTCTTTATCAAACCCATGAAATTTAGCTTATTTGGACTTCATTCATTTGGTTATCCTTCTCTATTGAAAGATTTAATAAGCCATAAAATGTCTTGATTTGTTTAAAACTTGAGAAGACCAAACTCAAAGAATGTCACTAGATTGGCCAATGCGCAACCACATTATCAATGGGATTGCTAGAGGGCTTCTTTATCTTCACCAAGATTCCAGACAAAGAATAATACATAGAGATCTTAAAGCGGGTAATATTTTATTAGACAATGAAATGAATCCGAAAATTTCTGATTTTGGCTTGGCTAGAAGTTTTGGGGAAAAGGAAACCACAGCAAACACAAAGAAAGTGGTGGGAACATAGTAAGTAATGAGCCCAAGAATGCAATTACATAGTTTAAATTCAATACTTCAAAACTTGTTTTCTTATTTTTCTTCTTTTCTTACAGCGGTTATATGTCTCCAGAGTATGCAATTGATGGACTTTACTCGATTAAATCCGATGTTTTCAGCTTTGGTGTTTTGGTTCTAGAGATAGTGAGTGGGAAGAGAAATAGAGGATTCTATCATCCAGATCATCACCATAACCTCCTTGGACATGTAAGTGTCAAATGATAGTATTCTTCTCTTATCAAGATGTCAAATTCTAGTATTGTTAAAACAGTTTTATTTGCTTAGGCATGGAGACTATTTTGTGATGGCAATTCCTTGGAATTGGTTGCTGATCCAATTAAGGACACCTGCAATCACTTCGAAGTTCTAAGATCGATTCATGTAGGCCTACTATGCGTGCAACGAAGTCTAGAAGATAGGCCAAACATGTCAAATGTTGTTCTGATGCTAAGTAGTGAAGTTCTATTGCCTCAGCCTAAACAACCAGGATTTTTCACTGAGAGAGATCTGGTTGAAGCTACTTCTTCATCAGATAATTTGAAACCATCTTGTTCTAATGATTTTGCAATCACAGTAATAGAGGCAAGATAAATGAGAATTTCATGTCAATGTTGTGACTTCTAGTGTGTTTAACCTTTTAAAAATGATGGTTGTCATTGTAAGTATATTTGTTGCCACTGAACCATGCTAGCAAGCTGGTTATTTTCATTTATTTTGTTCCCATATCCAATTTGAATTTCATAAATAAAATTTAATTATCAACCCTTCTTTTATTTCTTTCAATGTTAATGGGGTCAATATTGAAAATAATGGATTTGATCATGTTCTAGACTTTTCAAAATTCCTTCAGACTGTCCATTGACATTTAGACTTTACAGGAAAATGTGATCGATGATTGAATATTCAAAAGAGATTAGCAACTTAAACTTCTCTAGAATTTGCTCTCTGTCTCTCTCTTCTTCTTTTTTTTTTTTTGGAATGATCCTGTCATGTTAGAATAAACTTGGACTAAAATGTTTATATTTGGTAATTACTGAATAAGGCTGAAAGGACAGGTGATTCGATTGAACCTTGGACATTGATCCTCCGTTAGAAGAATTACAAACCTGATTAGATTCTTATGAATGAACTGAGAAATGCAAAAAAAAAACATCAAATTTGCTTTTGTTATTGTCAAGGTCAATGTAAAGAGGCTTTTCACCTTTTTATTTTTTTTTTTTACAAATAAAGTCTATGAAGATCTAGACTCAACTTATAAGATATTGTCTGTTTTAATTCAAAGATCTCATAGTAAGATACCTCACAAGTTTGAGATTAAATCTCAACTTATATATTATATCATATTTACACATCTTCTAATGTGGGATTGGTGGCGTCACAATCTCCTTACCTTTAAAACTTGACATTCCTGTTAAGTCGAGTTCAACTATAGAATCAAGATCACATTAGATGTTGAGATTCTAGAGATAACTCCCAACCATGTAATACTTAATAACTCCCACAATGTAGATTAAATATCAACTTATATATTATACCATATTCACATATTCTTCTAATGTGAGATTGTGGGTGTCACAATCTCTCCACCTTTAAAACTTGACATCCTTGTCAAGTTGAGTCCAACCACAAGACTAAGATAACATTTAACGTTAAGATTCTAGAGGTGGCTCCCAACCATGTAATACTTAGTTACTCCCACAATGTAACACTTAGTTCCCGTCGATTGGTAACCTAGCTCTAATATCATTTGTGGAGACTCACACCTAATTTGTGAGATATTGTCCACTTTGACTTGAAGGTTTCATAGTTTTGTCCCATAAAAAGTGTCTCACAGATTTAAGTTTAGATTTTTCTCTCTATATATATCATACCATATCCACATATTTTTTCAATATGGAATTGGGGGTGTTACAATCTCTTCATTTTTAAAGCTTGACACATTTGTCAAGTCAAATCCAATCACAGGACCAATATCACACTGAACGTTGAGATTCTAGAGGTGGTTCTTAACCGTATAGAATTTAGTGACTCCTATGACCTTACCGTGTAGCACTTAATGACTCTTATAATGTAGCATTTAGTTTTTGTTGACTAGTGACCACTCTGATACTATTTGTGAAACCTGCACCCAACCTGCGAGATATTGTCAGCTTTAACCCAAATGTCTCACGATTTTGTCCCACAAAAGATATCTCACAAGTTTAAGATTAAGTCTCAACTTATATATTATAACATATCCATACATTCTTCTAATGTGGGATTAAGGATGGAGACCCACACCTAACCTGTGAGGTATTTTTCATTTTAACATGAAGGTTTTATAGTTTTATCCCACAAAAATTATCTAATAAGTTTGGGATTAAGTCTTAACTTATAACCATATGCATACATTCTTCCAATGTGGGATTAAGAGTGTTACAAAGTCTCAATGTGAAAATAAAAAACAAAAAATACAAATTTAAAGATTAAATTAATTTTTTTATTATAGAACTAAACTCAGACTTATTGGATATTATACCTCTACTCTTTTTCTTTAGTCTGATAACCATATCTCTTCTTAGAAACCATCAATCTTGCATAAAAGGATGTTCTTGTTATAACTGTGATGCTCTCAATCTCATATTGAAAGAATATATAGATATAGTATGGTATATATATAAAGATCTAAACTCAAATTTGTGTGATGTTTTTTGTGAAACAAAACTGTGAGACCTTTAGGTCAAGGTAGACAATATCTTGTAAGTTAGGAGTAGGTCTCCACAAATAGTATCAGAGCAATCATCAGTTGATGGAAACTAAATGCTACATGGTGGGGCTATGAGAGTCACTAAGTGTTACACAATGGAAAACTACCTTTAAAATCTCAACATTTAATGTGAACTTGGTTCTATGGTCAGATTTGTTTTGATAAAAATGTCAAACTTTAAATGTAGACAGATTGTAATACCTCTAATCTTACATTGAAAGTATGTGTAGATATGATATGATAAATACATAGAGATCTAAACTTAAATTTGTAAGGTACCTTTTGCAAGATAAAATGGTAAGATTTTTGGATTAAAGCAGTTAATTCCTCACAAGTTGGATATGAGTTTCCATAACAACATCCATTGAATTTATCACATAAAGTAAATTTTGTAGTAAGTATAACCTATTCATGTTCTTGTATTTCTTAAATTGGATTGAGAGGAAGTGAAGGAAACGAAAGGAGAATAAAAGAAATATATATATATTTGTTTGGTTTTCATTTTAAATTAAAAAAAAAAAAGAAATGGGTTAAGCTACTTTCCTTTTTCTTCAATAGTTTCATTTTTTGAATTACTCCAATTTGAGGAAAAGGTAAAGAAAGAAAATGAGTAAAAGCTTTTTAAACTAAAAAAATTACTTGGCTATGTTTAGGTTGTAAGGGCGTTATAATAATTTTAGTCAATTATGATAAAAGTGGTATTTTAGTAATTATGTTAAAATGAACATTATAATAATTTTAATTAATCATAAAAAGGGGCATTACAATCAACTTAGATACGTGTAATTTAATTGTCAAGTAATTAAAATGGCATTATGATCATTTATAAGGAGATTCATTTTATATTATTGTATGGATGTTAAAATTTAATTCGTAATTATCATGCAATAAAAATGATATTTTCATAATTATGATTAGATGATTTTATAATAATTTTGATCAATTATAATATAAGGGGTATTTTTTTTAATTATGGTTGGAGATGCATTATGTGAAGCAAATAAAAATGATTTTTTTTCTAATTATGGTTAGATGGTATTATAGTGATTTTAGCAATTATAATATGAGTGATATTTTCATAACCTTGGTTAGAGGTTTTATAGTAATTTTAGCAAATTATAATATGAGGGATACTTTAATAAGTATGGTAGAAGGGACATAATAAATTTGGTAAATGATGATAGAAGGGCATTTATGTAATTATAGTTGTAGAGCATTACAGTAACTTTAGTCAATTATGGTAAGAGAGATATTTTACTAATTGTATTAAGAGAGCATTATAATAATTTTAGTTAATCATAGAAAGAGAGGAATCATAGTTGATTTGGATGCATGTAATTTAATTATCAAATAATTAAAAAGGCATTATGATAATTTTTAAAGAGATTAATTTCATATTATTGTATGGATGTTAAAATTTAATGCATAATCTTGAAGCAATTAAAAGGGTATTTTAATAATTATGCTTAAAAATATTATAGTAATTTTAATAAATTATAATGAGAGGTATTTTCATAATTATGATAGGAGAAGCATCATATGAAGTAATCAAAATGGTATTTTTTTGTAATTATGGCTAAAGGGTATGACAATAATTTTAGTCAGAGAGGTATTTTTATAATTATAGTAAAAGAGATATTATAATAATTTTAAAAAATTATAATAAAGAAAAAAAATAAACACACGACATACAATTAATATCAAATGAGTCTTACAAAAAAAATTAATAAAACAAATTTTATTAAATATTTTTAAAAAAATTTAATTAAAAAAGTAATAAAGACAAAAAAATTTGATATAAATGGGTTTCAAATATAAAATTTTTTTAAAAAATATAATTTTATAATATTAAAAATATTTATTAAATAATTTTAAAGAAAAGTAAAGACAGAAAAAAAAGTAAAATAAAAAAACTGACACGCGATAATCAAAAGCAAATAGAATTTGTAGACTGCACATTATTATTGTGTTCCCAAAGAATAAAAAAAATCTTAATTATTTTTTCATTTAAAAAAATCGAAAAGGGTAAAGAAGAAAAAACAAAAAAAAATTTGTATAAGTTGATTCACAGATAAAAATACAATCTTTATAAATATATATATATATTTATAATTTTTTAAAAGAAAAAAAGTAAAAAAAAGAAACAAAACAAAAAAGAAGAGAAGGACCAATCATGGGTTAACAAGTGGCACCCCAATATTTAAAAATAATTATGAAAAAAAATTAAAAAATTAACAAAAATTTTTTAAAAAATAACACGTGGCTTGAGTTAGGTAATGTACTATTCATCCATGCATGACCAAAATTTAAGTAATAGACAGTCTTACTTTTATTATTATTATTTTTAATTTTTAAAAATACTTTATAAGTTTCACAAGTGATATTAATATTTACTTTTTTAATCAAACCTAAACTCATATCATTACTTATTTTACTTTTTTGTAGCTGTCATCAATGCATTATATTAAGTTTTTAAATTTATTTTTATGGATTTTTTGTATGTATATTTTTTATTCATTTATTCTTTCTTTTAGCATATTGTTTATTTTCTACGAAAATAAATTTTTAAGTTATTTTTGGTTTAGATAATATCCAATTGTCCATAAAGAAAAAAAATCATATTATTTATTTTTTAATTTATTTTGAGTCTTATATACTTTTTATATTTTATTATTATTTTATAAATTTGGCAAAAATAAAAAGAAAAAAATGTACAATTATAAAAAATTTCTATATTAATGGAGCTTATTAAATTTGTAAAAAAATATTACTATAAATTTATTATTAATTTAATTACTAAGAAATATTTAAATTATTGAATTTTTTATTGGAATTAATTCTGAAAAAGATACAATTTATAGAAAAATTTTCAAACTTAAATTATTTTAGAGATAATAAAATAACACAATTTTTTCTTTCTTTTCTA